TATATATATATATATATATAAACGCAGGCATAAATGCCCGCAGTGCACATAGAGCCTCTGCTGCCTGGTCAATAAGTGACCGACTGGCCCCTTCGCTCGCCATGGGGCGCAAAGGAGTGTTCCGGCCGTCCTCCAAGCACTTTGCGGACGACCTTTTGTTCGCCGACGCCGTTGCCCTTGCCGACGGCGAGGTGGAAGTTGTGTTCCGGGTGGTCGAGGTCTCGAGCCCCTAGGGTGCGGAGGACTGATGATTGTATGCGACTACATCCTGTAACCTGGGTGTCCCAGCCACCGGTAGTAATACGTTTATGTAGCCGTAAAATAGCACCTTCTGTATGTTTACGCTCTTGCGCATAAAACGCAAATGCAAGAACGTAAACGCAAAGACCAAACCTGCCTGATGCCACTGCAAATGCACCAGATCGTCGAGAGACGGTTGGCGATGGACAGGGGGCCACGCACGCATTTGAAACCGCACCCGCGCAGGTAGTCAGGGTGGACCTGAGTGGCAATGGTTCGCTCGCACAATCCTCTCCAGATAACACTACACGCAGTGTATTGGATACAGCTTTGTAAACTTCCGACACATTGTGTCACAATGCCCAGCCATCACTCCCAGGTGTCCGTACCTCTCCAAAGACGATTCTTTGAAAATCACGTCAACTCAACTTCAGCTTTGATGGTATTAATATTTGGTTTTCACGCCCATCTTCGCCCATCAGGTGGAGGGGAGCCCGTGCTCTGTCATTGTGTGAAAAATGTAATCTGTGGTTTTGCATTGATGGCAGTAATTATCAATTGTTCCCTTTGCGCTGGGATCCTTGCACGCCCGCCAGTTCACTGGTGCGCCATCCTTCCCGTTCTCCACTTTCCACTCTCAAGAATCATAGTTATCGTCACTAATCCCGTCCGCATTGCTCATTCACAACTGGCGACGCCAGTACGCCAGTGCGACGCCAGTGGTGCTCTGGATTGCTCGCGAGCGATCGCACGACCCTGCAGGACGAGATACGTTAGCCGTGTTATCGTATGCGTATTGCTTGCACTGTGAACATCGCACTGTAATGTCCAATCGCCACAACGAAGTTCCCTGAAAGCCGTGCTTACCTGGTGCGAGCATTACAAAAGAATCGTGGGGTACATTCTCCACTACGAAGGCGCCATCACCTCCAGGGAAGCTCGCTGGCATCCCGTCCCCTCCGTCTCAACGATCGTCATCGCCGTCATCAGCCCCTTTCACATCGGTGTGAAAGGGGCTGGCGACGACTGCGTGCATGAGTGATGTACAGCATTCCCCCCACGTGTGCACACTTGAAGACCGGTGGCGCGGGGGATGGCGCCGTGGAGAAGCGGAGACCGCCCTGCGCCCACAGCAGGCAACCCGAACAAGATGGCGTCCCACACCTTGAGCGCTGCGGCGGGCAGGGCGGTTGGCCGCTGGCTGTGCCTGGCGGTGGCCCTGCTGGCATGCGGGTGCGCGGGGGCGCAGAGGGCGAAGGAGGGGGAGGCTGGGCGGGAGTGCTTCGCCGTCGTGGAGTACGCGGCCCTCGTCGAAGACCCCGAGAAGGCCAACCTGACGGATTCTTTCAAGGGGGAGCTGAAAGTGAAGAAGATCGACGCCAAAGAGGTGGGGGCTGGAGCTGGGGGTTGGGGTGGGGTGCACCCCACCACGTGGTGATGGTGGGGGAGAAGGATGCGGCGAGCGTTGCGTTGCGAGTGTGCAGCGGGCTGCGAATGGGAGGGGCTGTGGCGGGCAGGCAATGTAAGCAGTGCGCGGCGCAGGGAATCACGGCCACTGCGCTGGTGGAGGAGATGGCGGAGATCGAAGCCAGTACGGGCCTTAGTGCAACGTGGCACGCGGGCTGGCGATCCGCGGAAGCCTGTGCTGAATTAGGATACCTGTGTGGGAATCCATGAGAATGGGCCTTACCAGCATGCCCAGACTCAAGGGCGAGTTGAGCGCTCGCGATCGGGGAACTGCGCCATGCAGAGCGACAGATCTGCGCCCACATGACGAACGGAATCAACGCATCGGTGTCACGAGGCCACGCGCCTGGGTTTGGCAGCTTCTCATTTTCTGTAAAGCCGAAGTTTGACGGTTGTGCGATGATGAACAGTTGGCCGCCTCCACAATTTGAGGCCCAGCCGGTTCTAAGAATTCGTTAGGCAACGCAGCACTCTCCTGGAAGCGGTCTGCTTGGACCCAGAACGTAAACACGCAGCATGAGCCTGCGGACACGGCAGCTCGACGAATGGCGCATTTTGCTGCATGCCATGTACAACAAGGGCGACTGCTTGGCAGGCGCGGGTGTGGTAAATGCGAAGGCGTCAGTCGCCAGTCCTTGCAGGCTGTCCTGATGTCAACTTTTCAACATTTGTTCTACACTTGGGGCAATATCGCGGCGACGCATCTCAATAGCGCAATGGCTGTGAGCGATACATGGCGCAGCGCTGGTTCCCTGTCCAGACAGCAGGCGGATGGGGACGTCAGTCTCTGCGTGTGGTAATGTGTGTGCAGATCGTGAATGGATCAATAAAGTTGGCGTGGACTTTCTCGGCTGGCGCAACACTCGAAGGCAAATCCAGCATCACTGAAGATCCCACAAAGTTTATCTATTCTTCTGAAACCGTTGACGAACAGATGATTACACTGTGGTGGAATGACTCTGCAGGTGGGAAGGCTACGGGAAGTCTGTGCTCGGTTTGTCAAAGTATGCGGAATGTCTGATCAGCCTAGAATTCCGCGGCAGTGAATGTCCAACAGTTATTAGATCGTTATCCAAATATCAGCGCGCATGGAAAGCAATGAGATTCTCTATCTGCAGAAGCACAATATGTCCAGTCAATTTTCATTGTAGCCAAGCACAGCCATGAAACGGGATACAACTCAAATACCATATAAATTCATGATCGGAATTTGCTTGAAGTATTATGCAGGGCACAAGAGACCTGTATAGTGGCATTATGGCTTTGGAGGCGAATATCATCACATAGGTGACAGTACCTGTAAAATTCCCTTCCTTTGCGGGTCAGTGCATGGACGTATATCCAGCTTCTGGCTGCACCAATCTTCCGCCACTGAGGGTATTGATGCCAGATGCTTGAAGGCTCCCTGCGGAAGCTTCTAAAAGATGCATTATGGATGCAAGTGATCCCCGTAGAGGCACCGTTGCAGCATTCACAACAATTTTTTGTGACAGCAGTTACAGGCTGCGCAGTCATGACTAGAGGACATGTGGTACATGATCATGTGCCCTGTTTGCTCAAAAGGCTGTTGAAAGAAGCATTCATTGGCGATATATGATTGTGGCATCACTGCAATCCAATGTCCAAGCAATGGACGCCAGGCACTGTGCGCCATGAAAATGTGTAGCCAATTGCAGCCAAGAACATGGAATTGCAGCTTCCTTGGCTACCTGTACATGTTTTGCTTGCTGGTGTCCCACATTCCCTAGCGGGTGGCAAGCAGGTGGGTATTTTGGGACAGCTCGGATTGAAATCTGCGATTGGTCGTCATTGTCTCCATCTTTGTTGGATATCTGTGGTTCGTGCTGTCACATTCCTGCTGGTTGTTTTCATATCATTGCGCAGGCTTTTCAGATGGTTCGTTATCTACAGTACGATTCGTTGGAGAAAAAGGGAACAGCGCACCGGCCGACGCAGGCTTCACAAACTACACGATGGCAGCTCCAAATAGTGTGGCGCTCAATGATTACCAATGTGTACCCATTGGACCCGAAGATGAGCTTGTCGCAATATCGAAAGAAGAAGCGAATCGAGGCGACCTTGTGTTATCCTATATGCCCATCGAACTCACAAGCTTCAGGTCGTCCGATGGTTTTGTTCTACCTGCCACCACATTTGCATTCAGGTGCGAGACAATTTCTAGTCGCTGCTGGGAATGTGACGCATCAAAGTGATCCCTGTGATGTGATTCCCGGGATTGTCTGAAGTGGGACATTCCAGGTGCGGGGCGTCCTGGATGGCCCCTGGAGTCACCCTTCAGCGAGATTTTTCCAGTTTCACAATCCGAAGTTTCGCGCATCATGGTGAAAGGCAGACATAATGTCAAGTGGCTTGTGTTAACCTGCACGAACTGCAATTGCCATGTGTGGCTTTGTGCAGCAACATGAATGTTCCCTGTTCCGAAGGTGCAGACACCAGCGCCTCCTCAAATGTAAAGAAGCGAAGGCAAATGCTTGGATTGCAAGCCTTCTGACTTTTCAATCACTTCACACTGGCCATCCTATATGTTGAAAATAACCCCTCTGTAAACAGCATTTCCAGAAAATAACATTGCACTGTTGGTGCCTTTTCTCACTGCTGATTTTAAAGAGTCTCTTGTGTTCTAAACTACAGAATTGTCAACGAGGGATCAAGGGTCGTCGACCTGAAGCATGTGCGTTTGGAATACTGGTTCGATGGGGACGACAGTTTGTTGGCAACAGATGCGAAGGATTTGCCCTTCAAAAGCAATTGCCGGTCGTCAACAACAAGTAAGCAGTCACATTTTGTAAGAAGCGTTTGGAATATTCCGAATGCTATAAATAAAGCAATGCTATTCATATTGAATGTTAATAATGAATCACCAGGCCTATGTACTGTGCTCAGCCACTGATGCCGCCTGCCACCCAAATGTCTGTTGAAGGAATGTGGAACCATGTTGGTGTGGGTAGTCGCCTTCTCCCTGATTTGTATGTTCCAGCTCTGTATTTGATTGTTGCGCTCTTCTTGTATGTACATCTGAAGTCATGGCGTACCACAGATTGTTCACTGATGGTGACAAAAGTACGGACTGGCCAACGAGGTGTTCAAGGGGCCAAATTCAAAGTAGAGATCTCCTTCCTGGAAGGCGCTGGGAATCTCCCTCCAACCCAAAACTTGCCAACTACAGAACAAGTAAGCAAGCAAGCTTGTGAAACGTTCTGCACACAAGTCATACATTGCCACGCCTTGCGTGCAAAAGATGATGTGTTTTCTTCAGGAGAACTAACATTCGACACTGAGTCTGCCTGAAGCGCACAATATCTGCCACCTTTACCCCACGCAACCAACAGCATATGTCGCTTTTCTGCGCGACTATGCGGTTTTCCGTTGTCACTTTGTATTCAGTGCAAATGCAAGTTGCAGTAAGTCACCAGAATATGGGACTCTGATGCACTCGTCTTCGAATGATGTGGAAGTTGTCGGAATCAAATTGAAGATTTATGCAGTAATCTTTCGTGTAGTGTCGTTCTCAACTGCTCATCGCGCACCGAAGACAGGGTCGTTGGTTATAGGTTTTTCCAATCTACTTGAAAACATTTTCCGTGGCCACATCATTGGTGGCATTTTCTTTGCCAAGACAGATCAGATGCATCGTTCCTGTCGTATTGCGCCTCATTTTAAATGTTCCTGGAGATGCGGTAACGATTTCAGCAGTCATAAGATCAATTTGGCACAGAAGGACGTGGGGGAAGAATGAACTGTATTCCTAAGCCTTGAATTACGGGAACACTGTTTTGAGCGCAGATGAGACCAATGCATAATTTCGTGTACCAGAAGCAACAATATAGCTTGCTGAAGTGCAACACGTACACACACAATTGGAATTGAATTGGGCTAGACCATGTTCTTATTACGCTTTGAACTTCAGTGGCCAATTGCTGCTTTTAGGAAGACTGTAACATGCAGGTGCAAGATCTCGAAAGACAAAAACAAGCAACACCTGAAAACTCCACTTTGGGTTACACATAGGCTATGCGCAGTACAGAGCAGCGCTCGTAGTCGCTCGTCAGATGCGGCAAGATGCATGAAGAGGACTTCCATGGAACCTAACTGAGTATTTCAGAAGCGGAAGCGTGCTGTATATTTCAGTGCATTTCATCAAGTTGAATTTTGAGAACTTTGGCCCATTTCGCTGTCATTTGTTTCAATTTAGATGAAGTGGGCCAGGGATTGTGCACGAGAATTTGTGCTAAAATGCTGCGCGTTGAATCTGTTGCAGGATGTGTCCATGTCACCACCGTTCGTTGAGGCCATCATTAACATCACGTCCATCAAGATCTTGGGCCAAATGAATTCAACAAGAGATTTCTCATACCTTGAGACCGAAATTGACGCCAATAGGTCATTTATGGCCGATATTCCTGACTTCGTGAACCATGTATACGCTGAGAACCAACGAATCCCAGTATATTTGAAAGGAGAGCGCGTGTGGGGAAGCTCGCCAGAAGGTGTACAAGACAAGGTGCGACAAGCAAAGCTTAATCTCGTTGATAATTGCAGTGGCCGTAGCATAGGGCTTGTGAATGAGTGTCCTGAATTGCTTGTGCACATACTGATAAGCACTAGTGCAGTATTGTAACGTATTACCAACAGGGCTGTTGCTTTTGCTATCGATGTTTTGAAATTATGTTTTTATCCCTTTATTGTCAAAGTACTGTGCGGGACACTGCAGTTGTCATAGAATTATGATAATGTGGAAAAATGACACTTGATATGCTGGAGACTGTCAGATCTGCCTTTTTGTGTGTCAATTGCAATCGTAGGCCAGCTTAATCACTGCGGCGTAGATTGCCCTCAGCGATCCTTGGCGATGAATAAAAGCGTTGAAAGCAACATTAATAAATGAGGAGAACAATCAATGGACATCATATTTGCGCTTATAGATGACTTCATAAGTCTTTCTCAACAAGGTAACTTGGAGAGCGGTTGCTGCAGATGCGGATGTATGGTATACTTCAAGAAAGTATGTTGCCTATATCTTAAATTGATAAATCATGCCGAAAGCACAACAGTAGGAGACTATTTGCCCCCAATTTTCGATCGAATTCGCAGGGGAAAGGTAATCAATGAACCTAATAACTGGACATTTGGACCGCGGGGGCACTTGCAAATTGCCCTGATTTCGACCATCCCCATAGGAAATATGCAGTCAGACCATGCTCGAACAAGTGAAGATAAAGCTAGCGAGTCTCATTTGGATTGCCACCGGGGACACCTTGAATTCCAGTAGGCTCTCGGCATTATTCTGATTCTGTACTGCGCATCGCTCATTGACTTGCGCATTCCGTACAGGTGTGTGACAGTCAGTATTGCCACATATCTATTAAACGAAAACAGATGAAAAGACAATTCTTATAACAATCCCAGTGGCGAACACAAGCTCTGCATGCTTCTCTATAGGTTATGATGCTTGGAAATGCACACAAGAATAGCTTAGTTAGGACAAAGTGTGTAGTGACATCTTAGAAGAGAAATCTCAAATTGGGAAATTTCCAGCAGGTTTGGGAACATAGTGCATCTTCTCTGACCCTCAGTCGTTACTTTTTGTACGGGCAAAGGCACAACGCGTTTTCTGGGTATCAACTCCCCGCAGGTTGAGCAAGTTGGTGGATCGCAACTTCAATGCGGATCCGCCAGTTTTGGCAGGGCAGGATGTGGTTTGCGTCAGCAGTACTGCTGCGATGCCAAGCTCAAAGTTGCCGTCCCGATGGCCCCGACGGTTCCGACGGTTTTTCCAACGGCCGTATTCGTAAACGCGACGGTATCAGGGACACCTGAGGGCAGTTCCATAAAAGGCCTACTTGCTCCGTTGATTGGTAGGTTTGGCGTGTCGTCCATGCACTGCCCATGGTTCTTCACCACAGCCCGTTCTCGTAAAGGTCAATTCAGTTTTTTCACGGGTTTCTGTACTCAAATAGATTGCGCGCGTGATTTAAGCAGTTGATCCTGTGCAGGTACCATAATCTCTCTGCCTCGGCAACAGCGTATGGACGTCGTGCAGGCTTGTTATTGACGTTTACGGCTTCATTTTTAAGTCTGCATTTTTACGCACAAGAAAGTCTAAATAGAGAAACGGCCATCTTTGTGCATATTTACGGCTCACCGGCACACCCAAATTACATGGCGATGTCACAATCAACGATCAATCCTCCACTCTCTCCAGAACTGGCAACACCTAGCCCTCAGCAACTACGCCGCAAAGCAAACGATCGTGTTATGCATATTTTATGCACTTCAGCGCGTCTAGCTGCCATTACCCGAGCTCCCTCAGGCTGGATGTACTGTCTTTGAGTACACAGATCCCATTTCACCCATTTGAACAGCTATTTACGAGTTAAAACGTAAAACCCACTTTAAACGTACATAGCCGTGAACAGAAACTCCTTACTCCATAAATACCAAGCCTGACGTCATAGAAATGTACGTCTCCGTACTGCACGTTGGGATTTTAGCAATTGAAACGTATTGGCATGCCATTCAGTTGGACGCGTCTCGCTGTCGGGGTTGAAAAGATGGTGTGTGCATCACTTTTGCAACAGAACAGATTTAGATCATATTTAGAGGTCACCCTCCCATTGGGCAACAGGCCATTGCATGACCTGCAGGTGGATTCAGCTACATGTAAATGTCAAGCGTGATTCATGTGAACGCTCCGCATGCCTTTTGGTGCACTCGGGGGGTGCCGATCACTAGTAAAAGACGTATCAAATAGCACTTTTGCGATCACGCATAAAACACATTTCATCAAAGCTGTGGGCGCTAAGAACACAAAAACAGCGCAAACCCGTAACTTTGAACACGTTTGAACACGCGTTATTTGGCCCTTTTTTCCTAATGAATAGCGCACTTGGACTCGTCCGAGCAGCTCGGAAATTGGTCGGACGCCACACTTTCCTTTAGTGTCAAGGCTTCAGAAAATAAGTGGTGTAAAGCATTCAACCCTTCCGTATAAGGAAATGTCAGCTTCACACTTTTTGCTCCGTAGTTTTTTTCAGAGCGTCATTTTATTTTTGCACGTTTCTGCGCGCAGAGCGGCCAAGATTTGAGTTATCATTTACATCATTTTTCAGCTAAAAAGATGTCGAATGTTATGTTCCTATGCGGAAGGGTTTAGCATTTTACAGTGCTCTCCAATTTGAGTTTGCCTTGTCGTACAGGCGGTGCATTACCCCAAGCCGTACCACGGACTGTGCTGGCTTCATGTTGGCGGCCCATATTCTCATATTCTCATTGAACAAAACTTAACAAGTCATGGAAATATGCCGCCTTCCCATCTTTTGGGAGATCCTAGTATCTGCTGACATTCACACGGCGCACGTTGTTCTATTTACTTTCCCATTACTGTAGGGAGCATGATTGGAGGCTTTGCGGCGATCTTGGTCATCGCCTGGTGCTGGAGGATGGCAGCTGCTGTCATTAACCGTCGATCAAGGAGCGCAACAGTTGATTTGGAACAAAACGACAACCAAATTAAGCAGGTGCGACGTACAGTCATGTGTGCATATGTCAAGCTACGCCCATATTTGCAGTCTTTTACCCTGCGCATCCCATTCAACCAAGGGTAGCCAGTAATTAGCGGCCATTTTGCAACTCTTCTACGGTATTGAGCTGTGGAAATACTTGAATACATTTTCGAAAATGGGAAATGGGGAAATTTCCCGATTCTGGTGTTCTTGCATGCTTTCCAAAAAGTCCTCTGACCCAAAGTGGCATACGTGATGTTTTGCTTGTACCAATTTACAATATAGCTCCGCCATTGAGCTGTAATCTAGTGGTGATCCTGGAAACTTAGTCACGATCAGTTCACCGGTGATGTCATACAATGTGAAATAATGTAAAAAGACTCTTGTCAAATGGGTCCCATAAGTGCTTGCTTTACAAAACAAAACATTGATCTTTTCCGGGCGCCCTCAAATGTTGTAAAATTACACAATCTTGTGGAAACCATGGTAATGTTTGACTACGCTTTATCTAAATAACAACCAATAGGTGATGCACAAGAATTGCACCCAAAAGTGCAATGTTGATGGCTTCTGCTATTGAATGTCCGTTTTTTGGACACCCATGTGCGGAAATAAGGAAATGAGAGTGTTGTGGATGGCGGCACAGGCCTATGACCCTATGTAGAGCGGGGAGCTCATTCAAATTGAGTGGAATGCGGTGAGCCTGACGCCAACGACATCTCGCACACGTGAGGGTCGCTGATGAGCTTACCAACGTCGGGTTTGATGATCAAATGTTGGTCCTGCAGCCCTTCATTGAATGGGCGTGTGCATCAACTGTGTTTCTTGCGGGCTCACATCCGTAGCCTTTTGGTTTGCGACAGACCGGAGTTTTTTGATGGTGTCAATGTAATAACGATTCTTGACATGACAGAATATTCTGATATATACAAGGCCGGGCGGCCGTGTCGGTTGGCCGCTTTTAGGCCACCAAGCTGTGGCACATGCCGGCTAATGGCGAGCAGCGCCTAACTGCAATTTTCGACTGCCCCCACATGGGCTACCAGATTGATGACGGTGCATTGTGTGGGAATGTGGAGCGCGAGCTAAGAATGGTGGATTAGGAGAGTTAAGATTTATAAGCATCGGCTAGGCACGCGAGCTAGGATGAATCGTCGCTCATAAAAGAGAGCGTGGGCGCGGTAGCACGTTCGCTGCTGCTGTGTGACCTCGGTGCGAACAGCAGGCGGCGCATTGACAATACGAAATGAGGATGGCGCACACCTGGGCGATTGGCCCATGGGTTCCTTAACAATTGCATGGGTTGGGTGGGCGGAGATCTGTCAGCGTTCCATCCTGAGAGGGACAGTCTAGGGCGCGGATCCCGGTTCTCTCGGGGTGCGTAAATGGATTGTTATTGCAACAAACACATTGATGTCCTGAGCCGCTGTAAATTTGATGTAATGTGGTGCAGTGCCATGCGCAGACCATTAAGAAGTGCAAGGCCAGCCATGAGAGATGTCTTATATTTGTTGATAAGGCGGTTCTGACGGCATGTCAGACCACCTGGAGTGGTTACGGGACAACAGTCATTGAGTTCGCCGTCCGCACGCTTGGCTCAATCTGTAGCGATCCGCATTTCAACAATTGGTGCTCATGATTCCACGTCGATGTGCTGGTCGTTAAATGTTCGAAAGCGCGAATCTCCCACAGACTGCAACGATTTGTGCAGCCAATTTGACGATGGGCCCCACAGCGAAGGTCGCCGCTCGATCTACGCTAAGAATCCATCAGGAAAATTTGCCAGGAGCTCCCAACAGCCTTTCGTGCAAAATGTCGGTAAGGTCCGAAAGGCTGCACTTGTGCACAACATCGCGATTATGTGTTTTTTGGGGCAAAACGGTTGTGCTCAAGATTGGCTGTCAGAAAACAAGGAAATTTGTGTGCAACATTGCCATTTTGGAGTGCACAAAAAGAGAAGAGGATGCATGTTCTGTTGTTTTCCGTGACCCCCTTACCAACATTTTGCACAAAAGTTAGTTTCCCGCAAAAAAGAACCAAATAGCGCTTTTTGCGAGCACCCATATATGCATTTCTTCAGTGTTACGCATGCTCAAAACACTAAAACAACACAAACCCGTAAACTTTGTACACGTTTGAACACGTGTCATTTGGTCCTTTTTTTTCTTGGTGGAGCCAAACGCATCCTAGATAGCAATCGCAATCAGTCACCTTGTACGACGACTCGCTGCGCGATCGCAGCCAGGCCAAGCAATTGGCCTCGACCCTTTGGGAGGATCCCTTGGGTCTTTTGCTCACAGAAACTCGCAGCCAAGAGTCGTTACAACTGTTCAGCACCGCCACATTGTCCTCACACCAGTGTCCATGCGTTGACGCCAACCCCGATTGAGGTGGCTCCCAACCAGCCACAGTGCTTCAAATAACAAATATTTCCAACATTGGACCTCGTCAAAACACCCGCAAAACCAGCATAAGTCACTTCTGATCTTTCAAACATCTACCACACGTGCTTTCAGCTTATTGCCAATGCACGTCATTACATCCCATATTTGTATATCATTACCCAACGATTTCTCACAGCCAGCGCCATCACCCACACAACACAATGCAATTTCTCATAGCAGCCCCGTGGAGCAATCATCACAAAGTGTCCCCAGCTCCGAGCTCGACGACTTTCTAAATTGTCTTTTCAATCAGCATGTTCTAATTTTCTTACTATAGCATGATCCAACGACATTTTTTTTCAAGCCATGTCGCTCAGCTCGTATAATGTTGTGAGTATAACAGCATCCAATGAATCCTTGCAAATGGAATCGAGACTCAGAAAACGCCACAACGTTATGCAGCCCCATCACCAGCCCCAACGCTGGGGTTAGCCCCATGGCGCCAGCCCTCACGCACCTCAGGGCGTCTTCAGCGGGGGCTTGCTTTCGTCTACTTGTAGATCAAAGCCCCAATGGAGCCAATCTCGCGTAGCCAATCTGGCTGTGTCATCATTCTCCCACTTCTTGACAACAGGCGCCCCTTTGAAGTAGTCCTCTTGGGTCTGAATGGCCTCCAAGGTACCTCTCTTGCTCTCACAGTAGGCATCGAGGTCTTCCAATCGCTTGAGCCCTCTTACTGACTGCGTCTAACGGAATGAACTTCTCCATGCAGTCCTTGAGACATGCATCCGTTCGGTCTCAAAAATGCTCCGTGGTGACTTCATCTTCAAGTTTGCGTTTCTTCTTACGAGCCAGCAGCACTGCTCATTCCAGAACTGGAGGACTCTATATGGCAGAATCCCTTGCCAATTGCATCAAGCTGGCTTCGAAGCCCTTCACAACGATTTCCGGCAATTCTGCAGCCATGTCTTTGGCTTGATTTGCTGCCAGCTCAATGTCATCGTCTTGAACGCCTCCCATTCCAGCATATGATTGCCTCAGCTGTGTCTTGAGAGTTTTAGCTGCAACTACGTTCGCTTCATACCTCGCTTCAGCTTTCGCCCATTCGACTAAGCATGCCTCATGCATGAGCTTTGCAGCAACCCGCACTTCGTCCCAGACGTTCATTCCTTGCTTTACAAGGTACTCATCTCCTCCCAGGAGGTGCTGTCTGCGCATCGTAATTGCTCTCAAGTCGGCTATCTTGGCATTGAGGTCGTCAACCCCGGGTGGGCCTTTGCGACTCCTCCTAGCAGCCACATTGGCTGCCAAGGAGGGTCGGGAACTGCCACCAATTGACATCTTGAGGTCGCCGCGGCTGGCGCATGTCCGCCTAGCCCGACTTGCACATGCTCCAATCGCCCATGGAAGTGGTGCATGCCCAGCATGCACCCAGCCTATGTGATCACATGAATCTTTACAACTTCCTCGATAATGGGCCAAATCGCGTCAAATTTGACTCCAGCCTATGTGATCACATGATTCTTCATAACTTCCTTGGTAGTGGGCCAAATCTCATCAATTTGACCAGCTGCTCATAGAGTAATCCCGTTTCATGATGGAGCAGGCCCCCCCGGTCCAAAGCCCCATTGAGCTGCCTCTATCAGCTCATCAAGAATCACAGAATTGACAAAAACGGCTCTATCTTGGTCCTTAGGCTCAGATGGGCTGATATTTTTGCAAAAATCATCTTAAATATGCCCCGATTGGCCTGGGAAAACATCAGACATACCACATTTTGTCGGCTGATCATATTGATACCTTGGGGCCCCGAAGCTGGTCAGAATTTACGAATCTAGTGACCTGGGCAAACAAACTGGTGGCCTGGCCGTTCTCCCCCGTATTCCGCGCTCCCAGCGGGCTCTCAGGGCCCCACAGGGGGCCGATACGGGGTGGTGCCATGATAGATACCCTCAATCGTAGGCAGTACATCTGTGCGTCCCACGGAAGCCGATGTGCACCCTGTGATTGCCCATGTCGCCCTCGATGACGACCCCGATGACGACCCGAACGGCGCTCTCACAATCCTCACCGCCTGCCCCAGTTTTCTTCCGGCAGAATGGCAGCGCTTCGGCCCCCTTACAACCCTACCGGGTCACTTTCTCTGCGGGCTTCCGGATTCAGGACCGGGGCCTCCGCCGATGGGGGCCTCGCGCAGCCCATCGGTCAAGGATCGTCAACGCGGACGGATGGCTGCATTCCGTCCTGATGCGCCGGTGCGGAAACGCTCCGCCAGCAGTTGTGTGGCCATGGCCTGAGACATGGTCGGAGAGCACTCGCGCGGCCCCCCGGCTTCTGCGGGTCCGTGCGCGGGCGGTTCGCCATACTCCTCGCAGTCAGATGGGTCCCGGGTCCTGTCGTGGTGAGGTGAGCGTATCGATTCGTGGCATTTTCGTATGCGTATTGGTCGCGATCGGTGGTGCGACTGCAGATCGTTGAAGTGCAGCTCCTGTAGCTTCTTTGGTCCATCGCTGACGTGCCTGAGTAGCTTGGCTAGCTTCCATGACGACTTTTGTGAGTGCAAATCCCGACTGTCCTTTTTCTGCCTGCCACACGGGGCATCTTCTTACCATATCTACTAAACCAGTAGTTGTGTACTTTGAGTCTTATTACTACCTCATAAAGCGGCGCCCCGAACATTGTTGATGAACAAGCATAGCCGAACCAAAACAGTGGTTTAGCCTTCGCTGTGCGGGCACAGGTGTCCTGCATTCTTGGGCTTGTCAGGCCTCCAATGCATGCACAGGTCTCATAACGCTCTCTGAATGGCACGCGGATTTTGTAGGGCGATGCTGCCTGCCACCTTGGAGGGCGCGCGGCAAGGAGTTTTCGTCTTTCAGTCAAGCTCCCCGAAGTCATGGTGCATCGCTGACTGCGCCAAGCGCTGACCCGCATCGTGCCGCACCTTGCCACGGAGCAGTTCCATCAACTGTGGAGTGTCAATTACGCAACTCAGTTCTACTTCGAAGAGTTATCTCAGAAGGACTGGCAGGTGTTGCGGACTTTCTTGTATTACAGTCGCAATCTGTCCCAAAAATCCTCTGCCGCACACCCCTCACCAAAGGTGACGGCTGTCGCAACGGGTCAGCGATGTGTTCTGTCCGTCTGCTTTCAGCGCCGGCCCCTTGCATCCATCTGCCCCAGGTGCGGTAGGCTAGCAACCGGATGCACTCAAGTACAGCGAGACGCGCCAGTTGCCTTCCTCTAAATCTGTCACCCAGCAACCCAGTCCCAAGGTGGCCAAACATTCGGCTTGGAGGCTTGTGTGCTGCAGATCGGCATTAAATGCTTCCGATTCCTTAACCGACGGGGCTCTGCAACGCAATGTGCCACATTCGCAGTGAGAACGCAAGTCCTATGCATGACAATTTCCGCCATTTACATTGAGAACGGGCCATTCAATTTAGCCCTGCCTACGCTTCCACATTCCTTATGAAGACAAATTCCCGTCTCATCTCCCCGGTAGGCATTTGTCATGGACGTAACGGGTCGCATGTGCAGCGCATATGCAACGAAGCAAGCGCGTTGCCTCAAGTGTCGACTGTATTTAGTACATTGTTAAGCTCGACTTCGTTGGTTGGCCAAACGCGCTACCCACCAGTGACGTGAAAATTGCGGCACTCCCTTGGCCTCAAGAGCTTCCTTCCCAGCTACATGGGCTGTGCTACCGCGGTCGTCTTTGAGGTATCCTATGCGAGTGCCCATAAGCCACCTCTCATCTGCCCGCTGCATTGATCTTCCATTGCATCAACAGCTTCTTTTACATAGCTCCCCATCTTTGCCGGCTCCATACCCATGTCCAGCGGCTTCCGTTATGTGCCACATCCATCGCAGCTGCCGCCTCCTTCGTGCTTACCTGTTTTGCTGCCGCCCATTATATTGCCCTCGCGTTCCCATCAATGATAATGGCCTTTGTAACAGCTCATATCTTGATAGGATTCGCGGCCGTCAAACTTGCGCCGGCCACCCCATTTGATGTAGCACAAAGCATGTTACCCAAGACATACTTGTACGACATCATGCCATCGCGACGATCGCAGCTTGAATGGAAAACAATTGCCTTCGCAGCCACAGCCATCGCGGCTTCCTTGGATGCCTGATAGAGAAAGAGTTGGAGCCGTGGTTGTCGTGACCAAAGCAAGCTTTGTTTATGTCAGTTGTCGTGGCCTCGATGGGCGGGCGCGTTCCGTGGCTTTCATGTTCCGAAGATTGCGAATCTCAAAACCAGCGGCCCCCTTGCGATGTGCTTGTCGGCTCGAGCTGCAGTAGGGAGGGGCGAATGAGTGCGGCTGGGATTCAATTTCATCTAATGAAATAACTGTCTCAATGTTGAGACCCTACATTCCGGCTTATTAAGTTCGTTGGCCTAAATTCGCATTTCTCCGCGGCAATCGAGCCTTGAAACATGACTACCCCATGGATAGTTGACTCAGGGTTATCGTATATATAGGACATGCGTGCCATTATTTGCACACCGTGGAGCAACAAAAGACGTATAAAGAAAGTCACCGCCGATTACTACAGGAAAAGCAACCAAGGCGGGCAGCTGGTCAGCGACCCTTCGATTCTCGAGCTCAAGCGTTAAAGCACCGGACCAAAGGGAAATGTCCGCAAGGTCGAGCGGCTCACTCCAACGCACTGCGCAATTGTCAAGGCTCAAAGCTGCGCCTCGCGTCACGGGTCAGTTACGTTGACCTCACGAGAGCGAGTCGCAGCAGCGCACAGAGTCACCGCCGCGAATTCGCGCTAGTTTTGAAACTCAGGAGAGGTTGTCAATTGCCAATCCGCGTTGTGCTGGGATACATTCCGAACTGTGCAGCGGTCAATATAGAGGCGCCCACCGTCCGCGAGGGCGCAGACCGCGGCTGCGCAGCTCAAACCCTTTGGGGCGCAGCAAACTCCGCCAGAGTGCCGCAGTGCTCATGCCTGGCTGAGCCCTTGTTGCCGTCTATTCGAAGTAGGGTGCTGGCTTTGAAGTCAGGAGAGGCCAGAAGGCTGCAGCTGAAAAGCGGTCGGAGCACGGGCGCGAGGGGTATTTATGTACATCCGAAAATGCACGTCGCGCAGGCTGCCACTTGTCCGGGTCAGCCGGAAATGGCGTTCCGGGTCAAATCCGACAGCGGTTTGATGCGCCCCAAAATATGCCTCTTCGCTCAAAGTTGACGTGGGCACGTGCCGGGCACGCGCCTGTGTTGCGCTCAGAGTATGTTGAAGCACCGCTTGGGGAAAGGGGTCCATCCGAGTAGGCGGACGCTTGGCTGTCAGGCCTCAGGCTTGGCGAAATTGTCAGACTCATCGGATGATGAATCATCAGTGGGAAGAAGCTTCACGGTCCAGCCGAGAGCACCGGTGCAATCAAGCAACAAAAAGAACACTTTGCTGTTTTGAGTCCAACGAAAAACCAAAGTATCACTGCAATCCAACCCGCCACCGTGTTGTTCAATTGCAGGACACTTAGTCCACAACTTGCAGCTGCAGCTGAAGCCATTAAGGGTGAAGTTCAGCGCAACAAATCTCCACATGTGAAGTTCTGTTATGTTGAAATTCGCCCTTAATCGCTGCAACTGTACAGCAAAGAGCGCGCGGAAGCGCTGGCCGCAACCATCGTGTCTCATCACAGTGCCACTGGGCAATTGTACAGGCTGTGATCAACGGAAGATCGCGATGGCCATGTATGATGCCTGGTGCATGACCAGCGCACGCACCAGGGGGCGCACATGGCGACAAATTGACGGACACCTAAGGGTCTACAGTACACTAAAAATGCAAGGTCCCACGCAAGGGTGACGATGGCAGGCTTCAGTGTCTTCCGCAATGGGGCTGATGCCGTTTCAAATTCACCAGTTCACACCGATGGCCAGCCGTTGCTTTTATCTCTGTGTGCTGAATGTGGTGGGCGCGGCGATGCTAAAATGCATTGCTAGATGATGGGCTCGGGGGCAGACATGCATTTGAAATGACTCACGTGCGCGGAGCCACTAGTGGCAGTACTGCCACTTCCTATCTGAGGCGATGAATGCCCCTACTGTCTTGAAACTCCGAAGGATACATCTACTTGAGCTTTCGCTCCATTCGCATATGTTGGTGATGCGTCTCCTGTGGCCATTGCATGGCCGTGGACCCTCTTTTCAGCCCCTCCTGGTCAATAGCTCGCAAGGGCACCTGGCGAAAGCGGCAGTCAAAAACGCGGGCCTGACGAAGCCACGACGTAGCTGTGGGCGCCGCTGTTACGATACGAGTCACAATCGTACTCCAGAAAACCGCGTGTACTGTGCCGTAGGCTCCGAGACCCGCATCTCACCAGGGATGCATTAGGAAAAAAAGGGCCAAATATCACGTGTTCAAGCGAGTACAAAGTTTACGGGTTTGGGTTATTTTCTCGTTTTCAGTGTGCAGAACTGATGAATTGCGTACATATGTGTTCGAGAACAGAGTTATTTGGGCCCTTTCCTGCTAGTGAGTGCATGGAATTGTACAGGGACCCCAGGATGAGGCACCAGTGTCAACGAGCCGCTGACAGGGGGCGAACCTGAATGACGGCGACTCACAAGGCCCTCCTAATTGGCAGGAGAAGACGGGCTGCGGTGCACGCGACTTCCCCCAACCCAACGCCTCTTAAAAGATTGGTGGACACCCCCTTCCCAAAGGGAACAACCAGGAAACAAAATACTAAAGGGGCATGCATCTTAAAAACCCCCGCAGCGATCCGTTTTCCGACCGGGCTGACTGCACTGTACCGTTCGTCGCTCTCCATGGACGACAGCCAAAGCACCCAAAGTACTGCCCGCGCTCGCAGTATACCAAACCGCGACGCCGGCCTCCCCTTGATGTCCTCGCCCCCGTTTGTCATCGGTCTTGCATCGTCGAGCTCTGACGCGACAGCGCGGCGGCGTCACTCTCACGGCGTCCCCGGGTTGAACGGCCGGCAGGCTGGGGGCCTGGCGCCGTGGAGAAGGGGCTCACGCCCGCAGCAGGCAACGAATGAAATGGGGTCCCGTGACTTGAGCACTGTGGCGGGCAGGGCGGTCGGCTGCTGGCTGTGCCTGGCCGTGGTGCTGCTGGCCTGCGGGGGCGCGGGGGGGCAGAAGGCCGGGAGGGCGGAGGGCGGCGGGGAGTGCTTCGCCCTCGTGGAGTATGTGGCGCTCATCGGGGACGTGCGGACGGCCAACCTGTCGGACTTCTTCAGGGGGGAGCTGAGAGTGCAGGAGATCGACGCCGAGGAGGAGGTGCGCGAGGGGGAAGATCTTCGCCCCGGTCAGGGGCGGGGGGCTTGCAGCGGTTGCGAGCGTGCGGCGGGCAGCGAATGGAAGGGGCGGTTGTGGACATGCAGTGCAGGCTGTGCGCGGCGACGGGTGTCGGCGCGACGTGCGCTTGCCCTCGAGCAGCGGGGATCGCTGGCGATGCATGGGGGCAGGCGATCCCCGGAGGCCGGGGGGCTCTCATGCATGTGCAGAATTTGGGTGCACGGGTGGCGATCCTCGGGAATGGGGCGGATGTGCGGGGGTGTCGGTGAATGTGCGATTCGGGGGGCTGGATGGGGGGAGCTGCACCGCGGGGAGCGGCGGCGCCGCGCTCGCTCACCGGCGGAAGAGACACGCCGGTGCCGTTAGGCCACGTGACAGGGCTTGCAGCCTCGCTTTCAGCGCGAGCGCTGAGTTTGCAGCCTGAAGGGTGCGCGACGGTACGTGGTTGGCGTCCCCAACAGGTAGGGGGGCGCCGGTATGATAGTTTCTCGAGCCACGCGGCAGGCCACAGGCCGCGGGCTGAGCGGCCCCAGACGGTAAGCCACAGCAGGCGCCTGGGGACATGGCCCTTTGGGAGACAGCTCCAAGAATGGCATAACGAGACATGGGCGCATTGGGGTGCCAGGCACCAGAAATGCGACTACTGGGCAGGCCAGAGATGGAAAATGCGGAAACATCCATTGCCATACCTCGCAGGGAATTCCGATGCCAAATTGTTCGTCTCTGATGCCACCAAATGCGTCAATGGTGTGGGGATGCACCTTGGTTATCGGTTTCTGCGAAGGATGCGCGGCGCAGCTCTGGCTTCCTATCCCGACACCAGGCCGGTGGGGGCTTGAGCGTCTCCATGTGGTATTGTGTGTGCAGATCGTGAATGGGTCAATAAAGTTGGCGTGGACTTTCTCAGCTGGCGAGACACTCAAAGGGCGGTCCAGCATCAATGCAGACCGCACGAAATTTGGGTATTCTTCTGAAACCGTTGACGAACAGAGGATTACATTGTGGTGGAACGACTCTGCAGGTGGGGAGACTACAGGAAATATGTGCTTGGTTTGTGAAGTTATGTGGAATGTTTGATCAGCCTAGAATTCCGTGGCAGTGATGTCCAACAGTTTTTAGATCGTCATCCAAACATCGGCGCACATGGAAAGCAGTGAGATTCTGTATCTGCAGATGCACAAAAATTCCAGTCAACATTAGTTTTCGTCAGCCACAGACATGAAACGGGCTGCAAATCAAATACCATACAAATTCATGTTGGAAATTTACTTGGAAGTATTATGCAGAATACAAGAGACCCATACAGCGGCATCTTGGCTTTTGGAGGCGGATATGATCACAACAGCGATATTACCTGTAAATTTTCCTTCCTTAGCAAGTCCGCGCATGGACATTTATCCAGCTTCTGGCTGTACCAATCTTCTGCCACTGAAAATATTGATGCCAGATGCTCGAAGGCCTTCCAGCATCTGGTTTCAATAGAAACCCTAGGGTTTCTGTGGGCGCTTCTAAAAGATGCATTATGGGTGCAAATGGTCCCCATAGATGCATTGTTGCAGCATTCACAGCAATTTTGTTGACAGCAGTTGCAGGCAGTGCAGTCTTGTGCCCTGTTTGCTCAACAACCTGGTGAAAGAAGCATTCACCGGTGAGGACTGATTGTGGCATCACTACAATGCAACGTCCAACAAATGGGCCCCAGTGCAGTGTGCACCATGAATATGTATAGCCTACTGAATTGCGGGCAAGAGCGTGAAATAACAGCCTCCTTGGCTACATGTAAATGCCCCGCTTGCTGGTGTCCCGCATCGCCTAGTGGGTGGTGGGTATTTTGATGTAGCTCGGATTGAAATCTGCTACCATTCGTCATTGCCTCCATCATTGTCGTTGAATATCTGTGGTTTGAACTGTCACATTTCTGTTGATTGTTTTCATATCATTGCGCAGGCTTTTCTGATGGATCGTTATCTACGGTACGATTCAGTGGAGAGAAGGGGAACAGCGCACCGGCTGATGCAGGCTTCACAAACTACACGTTGGCAGCCCCAAATAACGTGGCGCTCAATGATTACCAATGTGTTCCCATTGAACACGAAGATGAGCTCGTAGCAATATCGAAAGAAGAAGTGAATCGAGGCGACCTTGTCTTACTCTATATGCCGTTGGAGTTCACAAACTTCAGGTCGTCCGATGGTTTTGGGATACCTTCCACCACATTTGCATTCAGGTGACACACAATTCTGAGTCGCGAGTGGGAATGTGACATATCAAAGAGATCCCTGTGATATGATTCCCAAGATTACAATCTTTAGACAATTGTCTGAAGTGTTGCATTCCAGAAGCATGGTGGCCTGGATGGTCCCTGGATTTCCCCCTTGATGAGAATTGCCAGTTTCACATTCCGAAGTGCCGTGCAGCATTGTGACCAGCGGACACAGTGTCAAATGGATGTTTTGACCTGCATCGACTACAATTGCCATGTGCGGCACAGTGCACCACAGCAAAGTTTCCTGGTCCCTGTTTCAAATGTGCAGCGACGAGCGCATCCAAAAATGCGAAGAAGCAAGAGCAACTGCTTGAGTCGCCCAGCTTTTGCAATCACTTCACGCTGGTCATCCCCTGTGCAGAAAGCAGCCCTTCTGTAAATGGCAATTCCATAAAGTTCATTGCAATGCTGGTGCAAAGATGTAACGCTGTGGCTGATCTCTTACTTGCCATTTCTCACTGCTGATTTTTAAAGAGTCTCCTGTGTCCTGGGCTGCAGGATTATCAATGTGGGATCAAGGGTCATCGACCTGAAGCATGTGCGTTTGGAATACTGGTTCCATGGGGATGACAGATCTTTGGTAACAAATGCAAAGGAGATGCCCTTCAAGGGCGACTGTCGGGCTTCTACAGCAAGTGAGCAGGCACAGTTTGCAAAAAGCGTTTGGAATATTCCAAATGCTATCAATAAAGCAATGCTATTAATATTGAATATTATTGACAAAGCACCAGGCATAAATACTGTGCTCAGCCACTGATGCTGCCAGCCGTCCAAGTGCTTGGTGAAGGCATGTGGATCCATGCTGATGTGGGTAGTTGCCTTGTTCCTGAATTTTATGTGCCAGCTATGTATTTTGTTTGTTGCGTTCGTCTTGTATGTACATCTGAAGTCATGGCATGCCACAGATTGCTCACTGACGGTGACAAAAATACGGCCTGGGCAACGAGGTGTTCAAGGGGCCCAATTCAAAATGGAGATCTCCTTCCTGGAAGGTGCAGGAATTCTCCCCACAAACGAAAGCTCGCTATCAACAGAACAGGTAAGTGTGGAAGGGAGTGAAATTTCCCACACTGGTGTCAGTATGGCATTTTCCTGAGTGCACAAGTTTCCTGTCTTTCAGTGTGCAGCCAATGTTGGATGCTGATGATGCCTGTGGCACACAGCATATGCTTACTTGTGTGCCTTCGTCAGATGGTTTGCTGGCAGACTGGTCATGACAGTTCGATATACGATACCAAGACGAGCATTTGTGTGTGTGGTACCATCCTATCAAACATATTGGTATTCATATGACTGGCTGCTTGCCATTGTAGCTTTGTATCCCAGGGGTCCATCAGAGAAAAGCGCACTAATTGCATTTGTTGTCTAATCATTTGAATGTGTTTGGAATCATGGTGAAACTCTTGCAAATTTTGCAGTTCCCTCGTGTGTGGCCCCATGCTACAAAAATATATCATACACGAAAAACAGGGTCGCTTGGCTGTGAGTTTGCCAGTCAAATTTCAATACTCCCCCCAAAACCGTGCCGCCATAATGGAAAGGTTTAGAAAGACAGAGAAAAGTCTGGTACAGAAATTTCTCTATTGCCAGCATGTTCTGACTTAGAGCTTCTGAGAAAGGAGAGGTCAAATGCATGGATTCCTGCATATGCTTATCACTAGCAAAAAAGGAACCAAATAGCACTTTTAGCGAACACATATGTACGCATTTCATCAGTGTTCTGCATGTGAAGCACACGAAAATAACCCAAACCCGTAAACTTTGTACACTTTTGAACACATGTTATTTGGCCCTTTTCTTCCTATGTCGTAGCATTTGCTAGAGATGCTGTGGCAATGCGGGTACACACAGCATCAACGCGACAAACCAGAGTGCGGTGGGTGTGGGGGGTTGGATACTATTTACCGCTAGCATGGTGGAGTTGCAGTGAAACTGATGTAAGCCAAGATAAGACCCAATCTATAAATTCCCTGTCCCGGAAGCGACAGTGCAGCTTAATTGGCCTTTGGCCAATGCGTGCCCATATTATGCAGTTTAAATCGGCCAAGAATATGATCTCCATTCATGTTTTTCGTTGCTAGAGAGTACATCATCACAAATCCAACCGCGTGTCGCTGCTCCCATGCTAAGCGCAACACAGGAAGCCGGTAGACGCTGCGCTGGCACAGCAGAACATGTACGAATTTCAATTCGCACAAACAGACGGCTCCTGAAAGCAGCATATGGTTTCGCAGCAGCCAGGTCATGCCTATTCACGGGGAGAGCTTGTATTCGTTTTGCAACAAGTTTGCCTTGAAAGGCGGTCAGGGCATGTATGCACAATAACTAACTGCGCACTGTGGAATACTGAAGCTCATTGTATATTTGAGCTGAATTCATTGTGTGGCAATTCCTGAAATTTTGGCTAACTCTGCTGTCGCTGCGCTCAGTGTTGATGAAGATAGCCAGCTTTTATGCGAATTATTGTTTTATGGGCTGCCCCTTTGCTGGACTGCAGAACGTGTCCACGGCGCCACCGCTCCTTGAGGCCATTGTCAACATCACGTCCACCAAGCTCTTCGGCCAGATGAATTCAACAAGGGACTTCTCATACCTGGAGACCGAAATTGACGACAACAAGTCACTTCTGGCCGATATTCCTGACTTGGTGAACCGTGTCTACGCTAAGAATAAACGCATGCCAGTGTATGTGAAAGGAAAGCGTGTGTGGGGAAGCTCACCCGAAGCTGGAGAGGAAAAGGTGCAGAAAGGGCCCGTCTCGCTGGCGCTTACCAGTGGCTGTTATTTAGGTCTGGCAGACGCATGCTCTAGATTGTGCATGTTTGGATAGACAGGCACTGGTGCAGTCGATCTAGTGCATAGAACAAAGTGACTGGACTGCTGCCTCTGAGAGCAGTTCAGAAGATATTCGGATTATTTGCCTGTTTATGTAAACAAAATACACCTTGTACCTAGCACTATCAATACGAGCAAAACTGCCGTGCAGGATACCGCACTCGTCACGTAAATTGCGTGATGAATGCAGTACCCTGCGCTGCAGTTTCGCTTTAAAAAAGTGCCAATTGATGTGGCGATGAGCACTGGATTTGCCTGTTTGATCGCCAGTACCATTGGCGGCACGTTCAATGGCTGAATTATGTGTGGGCTGGGCAACCATTGGCGATGACCACAAGCGCTGCTGAGCTGCATTGATTTCCTATAGGAATCGCCAACAGATATCATGTGTTGCATTGGTAGAGAGCTCAATCAATGGCTCACCTGTGCCAAGTATCAAGATCAATGAATGCCCACAGATTCAAATGTGCAGACTGTAGAAGGAATAGCTTCTCTCCAGAAAGTCTCAAGAAGAAAGCTTGGATAAGAAAGGCTATTCAGACATTTTGGCCTGAAAGCGCATTTGCAAGAGCCCAACTCTGACCATCCTGCTTGAGAATATGCAGTGAGTCCCAGCCCATTCAAAATATGTGTAGATTCAACAGTACATTGTGTTCATAGTACGCCTGAAGATTCCTGGGACGTGAGCACCCCTTGCTGGGCTGTGCTTAGGTTGGGCACATTATTGTACAACAACACTAAGTGGTCTTTTACGATTGCCTTAGTATGTTCTGCCTGCTTTTAATTGACTGTGCCACGGGTGTGTACCAGTCATCACATACAGATCAGTATGGTAGCATACAATGTGGGCCAAACCAGATGTGATGCCACCCTTATCACAATGCATGTGGTGGACACAAGCCTGCGCCTTTTCAGCCACCAGACCATATCAGTCGGACGCCTGTCGGTAGGCCCTGATGCCTGAAGGATGTCGCCAAACAATATCTTCGTTAGGGCAAGGTGTGTGGCTCTGCGTTCTCAAGCGGAATCTCAAATCGGGCAATGGCTGGCAAGTTTCGAAGCACTGTGCATTGGCTCTGATTGTTCGTTTTGCATATGTTATCAGCTGGAGAAAAACGGGTTTTCTTGTTTTGCCGGCTCTCTACAGGTCGAGGCTGATGGCCTGGAATGTGAGGTTGTCAATGTTAACACAGCACGATGCGGGTTGCGCAAACAGTATTGTTGTAAGACCGAGCTCAAAGTTGCCCCTCCGCCGCCTCCGGTTGGGATCCTGAACGGCACTCTTCCAGGGACATCCGAAGGCAGTTCAACAGATTCCCCAATTGTTCCGTTGATAGGTGGGTTTGTGCTTCGCCAAAATGCCTTGTGGACGGCTATACTCTACACGACTCTTCTCTTCACAGCAGCTCGCGGATGAGTATTGGGGTGCCATTCGGTTGGGTGTACCTTTTCATTTAACATCAAGAGCATGCTTGTCGAGTCCTGATCTTCGTAATCCATTTACACAATCCTGCGTTTAGCAAATCCCGATCTCGTTGGTGTAAATTGCATTATCTTACAAGTAGAAAATGTGTCGTCGTCTGATCCTGCATACAGCTTGATCTATGAGTGCCTATAGGTAACAGTTACATACAATATCATAGCGTGATGGCGGGATCTGCTGACAAGTACTTCGTTTGAGGTACAGTGTGCATTCCCTCATGGCGTTTTTCTGCTCCTATCCCTACTCTTTCAGGGGGCGTTGTTGGAGGCCTTGTGGGGCTCGTGGCCATAGCTTGTTGTTGGAGGAGCAAGAAGCGTCGGCAACGCCAGAAGTTGCACATTGCTAATTTGGAGAAGATGGCACGGGAGCAGGAGCCCTACAAGCAGATCAAGCATTCAGCACGGCCCGAATCCCCAGCACTCAGCGAGGACAATCTCGGTGCGCAGGCCACTGAGGTCCTAAAGCATCTAGACACTGTTGCGTTTCTGAGTCGCTTTTGAACCATTGTTTGAGGCATGTTTCAAAGCTGAAAACACGTTATTGTTGAAACACATGAGCCCTGAGGCGAGTGCGAGGAGTGCACCTGAAATTGGTGCACTTTACCGAAAACAAGATTGCTGGTGAATGCATTTGAAGACCGGCAATGATAGTGTGAGATCGGGCATAGCTCGTGTAGTGCCCAACACTGTGCCCCAACTTGTGGGCCACCACCATGCTCTTGGAACCATGACATTTGGCCGAAACTTTGCTGTGCATGCCCTAAGCAGGTTTGTTCAGTTCCACCCCACTCCCTTCGCCTGTCCCCATCTGAGCCATACGCGCAGTGATGTTGAATGGCATGCAAGGGCAAACTCGATGGAACCAGTAGTTTGTCAGCACAGAAACAAGTCCCAAGCACAGCTCCTTGCTATCTGCTCATGATGTATGCGTGTAGAGGTTGAACCTAGTCCAAATTGAGGTTCTATCTAGACCTCAGTTGAGGCTCAACGTACTCCAAATTAAGTTTCAGCATAGTTCAAGTTGAGGTTCTACCCTGAAAACAATAGAACTGTGAACCCTCAACCGTAGGTTCCCTAAAACCCACAAACAAAGCACTCAGACAACTTTTGTGATTTTCATCTACCGAAACGAAGGGTATCAGATCTGATACCCTTCGTTGGAACTCCATGGAGACCATGTCTAGACACTTGTTCTCCATACAGCTTGACCAGGTTGAACCTCAAAGTGAACCTTCATATGCCTGGACTAGGTCGAACCTCAATTTGAACCAGGCTGAGCCTCAATTTGGACTAGGTGTTCCCTCAACTGAGCATGGATGAGTTTGAGCTCTGATTGCAGCAAGTGCAGCTGTCTGTCTGCCGATACAAGAACAAGGCCAGCAATTTGGATGGAAGATGAAGTTCCCCAGAGGTTACTGCAATCCCGCCAGAATGTCACCAGGGTGTGTTACTGGGGGGCTACCAGAATGGTGGCCAGGATGTCCACAGCTGACTTCTGGTGCCATCCCAGCAACCATCTCTTTTAAGTACGCCACTGTGGCGCGTATGGAAAATGCAATTCAAGGTGCCATCCGAGGTCTGCACTTCTGTTGCAGCAGCTCAACAAGAGTTGGGCGCCCAGTGGGGAACTCATGCTTCTGATCCAGACAGTTTCCAGCATCCGGCCTTGGATGTGGCTCCTGTCATCAAAGAGTTGTCTGGAGTGAATTTAATGGAGATTCTTGTGTTCGCGCTCAGACATCGACGGTCTTGATGAAGAGCTGGGAATAGATATGAGAGAAGGAGAGTCAGAGCCTCTCATCGCTGCCAAGTACCACACTGTCCCTTCCATATCAGGGGCTGACTCCAGTTTCCTCATGGAGATGAAGGAAAGGAGGGAGTCCACAGACGTCGAAGCCAGGTGAGGCACTGATAGAGCCGAGTGTAGTGTGGAGTACATGTGGCCGTGGAGGGCCTTCAGGACACCGTTGCAATGCCTTTGTTGCGTATAGCTCAAAACGAAGCCTGCAGGTGCTGGGGCGTGGTGGTCCTTCAGCTGTTCGTCACACGTTCAACGTTGTTTTGTGATGCATTGCAGCTGCTGTGTAGTGAAAGGTACTTTTCCATACAAGATACCATTTCATTATTCCAACTTGTTCGACCTGGTGAATTGACAGTAGTTTCAACAGGAAAGTCAGAAAAGTGCGTTTTTGGACGTTTCTCAAGGCTGTGGCACTTGTGTTGACCGTCATCGCTAATCTACTTTCTGTCTTGCGCTCAGGGACATCAAGTCCTGGAATGGGTACATGCACTGGCAGTGGGAAGGTTTCGAGATGTCCTTTGCGACAGAATGCCAGCAAGTCCGCCGGACCACCACGGGGGCAGCCAATATGGGCCCTCAGGGGGTCCTCACACAGAACTTTCAAAACCTGTCAGCAGTGAACTTTGATGTTGACTACAAGACGGAGATCGAACCCTTTCTGGGAGAGAAGCTTGGGGAGGGTGGCTTCGGAAAGGTGTTCCAGGCAACGTGGAGGCACGTGAAGGTGGCTGTAAAGGTGGGCACCACACCTTGTGGGCAAACGCACGACTGTTCCAGCGCTTTCCAAAACAGGAAGTAGCAGAATCGCCCAGTGCCTTCACCGGAGGGGGGGGACCGCGAAAGGAAAACGCTGCCACATAGGCACTCATCGATGTGAGCGGCGCCCAACATCGTCTTATGGATGCAAGAGCATTGGTTAGTCATATATTTGATTTATGCATCTTGCACCGTTGCAGTGCAGCGCGCACGCCTGCAGCGCAAGCAGTGTGTAATGCTGCGATATGCAAGGTGCCTGCTGGGGACAATGCAGCTTCACAGTGCAGATGCTCTGGCAATGCCTAGGCGAAGTACCCACTGGCCAAAGGCGCTGCATCTCCACTGCAGAGTTTGCTTCGTTCGTTGATTCGTTGGACTATTGGATCAGACTGTATGCTGGGAACTAAATCTGTGGTGTTGGCGGGCCACACTATGTGGCATACAGTTGTCGGATTGGGCACCGACAAGTGCAACCAATGTCTAACTAATGCTCCCACGATCATCAGCCTACAGACCACTCACTTACACAACACAAAACGCAGCAGAGTGCTCGTGGGGTTGTGTGAGCAACATCATTTCTTCTTGTGGATGATTGTCTGGCTGACTGGTGAACTGATGGATTACCTGGTCGATTGCCTGCAGGTGATGAAGATCGACAATGATTCCATGCAGCAGACACTGGAGGATGAAATCAAACTGACCAGCAGGTTCCACCACCCAAATATCGTTAAGGTGTTGGCAGCCTGCTTCAGGGACAAAGAGAACATTTGCCTCATCATGGAGCTTGTGGAGAATGGCAGCCTGTCACAGCGCATCCACAATCGCAATAAGAGAAAACTGGAGTACATGGAAGTCCTGAAGGTGAGCACCACAAGTGAAAAGGTGTTGTGATTGCGCTGCAATTGTGTTTGGTGAACAAGCGGAAATATGCATGTAGCATTTTCAAGCCGTTGGTTATTTGGCAAACATGTTTGTGGATATTCAGCCTTGCTGTATCGGCACAAGAGGACAGGATGCTGTCCACTGACATGCGTTACACAGATAGAAGATGTTCACAGGCTGTGCCAGCTTGAAGATGCAACTAAATGCATCAGTCGCCTAAATATGGTCAAGGAGCTTTAGGGTTGTGATTTCTCAGCACCATGGGAAGATGCACAGGGCAAACATTTCAGAGTCTCATTGTTGTGTTGCTCTTTGTGCCTTGACCCTTGGGCACAACTCTGACTTGAAGAATGACGTGTTTCAAACGTATGTGCAACCATTGTCACCCCAATGCTGAACGAAGCAATGGTGCTCCTGTCATTTTTTAAGTGAAGCAGAAGAATATGGACTGCTTATTCACAGTGCATATCTGGGCATTGCCGCCATTGGGTATGTTGACACGAGTTGGGATGTCTGTGTGCAGCTTGGGCATGACATTGCCCAGGCGCTGGCTTACTTGCATCCTACAGTCATCCACCGCGACCTCAAGCCTCAAAATGTCCTGTTGGACTTGAAAGGGAGAGCCAAGATCGCTGATTTCGGCATATCCAAATTCAAGGATCCACACAAGAGCTACCTCTCAGTCACGCAGACAGGAGGCACACCCAACTACATGGCACCAGAACTCTTCAATGGGACCCGCGTGGATGAGAGGTGCACGACTATTCTCTTGCAATTAGAGAAAGTTGTTTCTGCAGGGAGCATGCGTGCCAGAAAATATTGCTGTTGTGTTGAAACGTCAATGAACCGTGCGTGAACGCTGTGCCAATAGCAGCACACTCTGACCAATCTGGCACTGGCTGAAATTAAAACAACCTCCTCTTGCTGCCATTTCCTAGGTGTGACATATTCTCGCTGGGCTGCATCTTGTACGAAGCCGTCACTCGAAAAGTGCCATTCTCGGACCTGCCTCACGACAATTTCGCTCCACCGCTCTTCCAGGTAAGTCACTCCCATGTTGTGGGGCGCACAGCTCTTCTGCAGTCATAAGGTTGGAGCCCTGTCCCAAGCTTTAGGTCTCCAAGGTAGCTGCACAAGAATTGCCTTGACTGTCAGCAACTACAGTCGTGGTCTGGCTTCAGTCTGCATTGCATTTCACAGATGTGTAAGTGTGCTGCTCTTGTACTGTAGATCACGGAGGACAGTGCGGGGGGTGTTGAATAATGCGGGGGCCTTTAGATAAACCCCCTGGCGTGGTCAAACATGACCGGTGTTGCGGAGCGCGGGGGGTATGGAAGACAGCGCGGGGGGGCACTATTCACTTCAGCATCACGTACAACCACAATACAAAGCATTTTCCCACATTCTTACATCTCATTGCATGTGCTGTCGCCCCAATGTTATCAAATTCACTCCAACTAAACATTGCCGTAACATTCCTCCTTGAGTCAAACACGATGTCCTCAAGATTCTGGGTGTCAGCTCCATACTACCATCACTCAAACCAAGGTCATCAGGATCTCCAGTGCGACGTCCCAATAGCTGTTATTGTTTGGCGCTGTGATTGTCGCCTTATGTAATGTTGTGTAATATGCTATGTTGGCAGGGCGCCGGTCCGCTTTGTCAGTCAATCTTGCAATGCAGGTGGCACGGCATAATGCAGCGACCTCTGGCGTCCCATCACTTTTTCTGGCTCCGGTTTTGCTTGCTGCCATGAATGGCGCCTTATGAAATGCGCTAATTTGGTGGGGCGCCGGTACGCCTTGCTGCCGGTATGCGAGGCCAGCGTGATAGCGCGGGGGGCCGCTACTGAGTCAGCGACTTGATGTGGAACGGGGTGGGTGGGTGGGGTGTGTGTGGGGGGGCTATACTCCGTGATCTACAGTACTTGCAAGACAACAATGGGTGCAGCACCGTCCACATTTTTGTTAAAGATGGTTCAACTTGTCCAGTGTGATTTAATCGAACTTGCCCAGTTGTCATGATTGCTTGCATCGTTACTAGATAATCAAGACGGTCGCGATTGACAAGAAGCGCCCCAAGATTCCGGAGTACTGCCCGCACAAGCTTGCAACGTTGATTCGTGTGTGCTGGAGTGACAACCCCAAGAAGAGACCGAGTGCTGCCAAAGTGAAGGAAATCATCGAGGGTATGATGAAGGAGGAGATGCAGCACCGAAAGGGTGACGCACTGAAGGAGCGACAAGCCAGCGGGGATGCGGCGAGCAACTCGGGCAACAGTACAGGTATGAGTGCACATGACATGCATTGCTTGCATGGCAAGGTCCACAAATGACTTGTAGGAAGACGCACATCTGCTGTGGATTGGAACCGAAATAGCATCAGTGTGCCCGCTGGAGACAATTCTGGCGAACACCAAAGCTGCTGCGTGGTTCAGCAATGTTCAGTGGGCAAGGGCATTGGTGATGTCAAATGGGACCCACTCCTAAGAGCAGGCCAGTGACCTCAATATTCGTCTCCTGGGTTGTCCTCGCTGGCCAATGGCCCATTCCATGCCACCTGAAGAAACCTGTTCTTGACTCACGAAGGCTGTGGAGTGGAATTGCGAGAGCATGCTCCTTTCTCCGACCCATTTTCCATCAACTTGAGCGAATGAGCTGACAAAAATAACACTGACCAAGCAATAAAGATGCGATCACGCCTGTCAGCGCTGTGCGCGTTCCCCTTTCGCTTCTTTCCCTTCCCTTTTTCCTTGCATTTTGCAACTAGTCGGCGTCCCAATCGCACACTCACCTGGTCAATGTCGCCTGATCTTCTCGCACCGCCTGTGCCCGACATCGCCCGTTTCGTGCAAGGGCCTTTGCTCCGCCCTGCGACAAAACGCAGCTCAAAACGGGTTCTGCTGTCGCCCAGGCCCGTCGCCCCAGCCGGACTCCCAGGTCAGCCGCCGACCCAGCTTCTTCTCAGGCTGGATGCGCGGCTCCCAGGGCCGATCCCCTACTTCGGACATCCCCGACTCCCCGGCCAACGCCATCCCCCGGCCGCCCCGCCGCCCCGCCGATCCCCAGCCGCCGCCGGGCTGGCACGACGACGCGGCTCCCCGGGGGCGCAGCATCCAGATCAGCGACGACACGGTGGGCATGACCGGCGTGCCGCCGAGCCAGGACCGCGGCGTCTCCGTCTCCGGCTCGTCGCTCGACGACTCGTCGCTGCTGGATGGAAGGCAGTGGCGCGGGGCGTCGGAGAACAGCCAGTCGTCCGCGGACACGCCCGGCCGCGACCGGGTTCCGTCGGTAGGCATGCAGCTGCCGGGAGTGCTGCCCTATGCGGGGCACAAGGGGAGGGCGGGGCGGTCGCACAGGAACAGGAACTTCATCCTGCCCGTGACCGATGCGCATGTAAATGGGCGCTACTGAGCGGATCGCAGAGTGCGGGAGGGCAGATGTTCGGTTGCGCCGGGGCTGGATGTACTATTCTCCTTGGCTTTTCGGGGCGAATGGCTCGGGAGCGGGGACGGGATGTTGTGCCGGCGGGGTTAGAGAGCCTTTTGGGTAGTGCGCCTCTGGGTTGGTGCTTGAGGAGGCAGCCAGACGGCTGGCAGGTTGCCCGACGCACTGCTCGGTGCGTTTAACGGGGCTTTTCCGGCTGGATACCCCGCCCTTGACGTCAGGGCGCGACCCGTTGTGCTGTTGCTGACGCGGGGCGCGGGGGGGTGGGGGGGGGGCTCCGGTGGCGGACGGGGGCGCCGAAACGGCATGGCTCGAGAGTGATCACCTTCTTGTATTATGGATGCACATGCTGGCGAAGCTGTGAGTGTGTTTCCTCCACGCAGCTCGGGAGCGCCTCGGAGGGTGGGCCTCGGGTGGATGAGGGGGTCTCTTCTGAGCTGGGCATAAAGGGCCAGGGCTGTTGGACTGACCGCCGCACATTAAGTAGAACGTCGGACACTCCGCGGAATTTTTACGCGAAGATGTTGGGGTGTCCTGGCGCATGGGGGCGCCGACGGGGAGGAATTCACCCTCTGTGCATGATAGCAGGCCACGTTTTGCCTCGGTTGATGTACTTGATCAAGAATCCATCGGGATGGATCTATTTTACGAAGCCTTGACACTGAAATGAGCGAGCGATCAGCTCCAGACACTGCAGTGCCCATCGTGTAGTGGGCTCAAGTATGGAGCTTCCAGATCGCAGATGATTCAGTGCACAGGCAGGATGTTTGTCTCATGTGCATGTGTGCAGGAATAAAGGGTGCACAACCGCCACAAAAGGCACTGGAAATTTAGGGTTTGTTTCTGCACAGTTTCTTGCCGAGTTATGTAATTTTTACAACTGAAAATCGTGCATCCCTGACGTAAACCGTGGGCAGCTGGGTGCAGTGACAAGTTCTTTTCTTGGCGTCTTTCCACAAGTGGGAACAACTTGTCGTTCCCATTTGAAATATATATTTCAATCACGTGAAATGTACATTTCAATCCATGTGTTTGAGAATATTAACGCATGAATTTCTGCTGAAGCTCCAAATGCGGGCAAATACAAATGAGCAGGCGTCAAGAACTCAATCGCAGGCACATTCGCACGGGCAACCCGGATGCGGGCGGCTGTGTCGTGGCAATGTCAGCTGCCAACGGCGCATTAACAGCGGCCGCACGTCACCAAATATTTTACTCTCTGCATCAAAGAAGCAAGGGGCTTTAGCAGAGCACACGTTCTGGCGCGGATGGGCAAACTTCAACGGAAGTAGAATTACTGCGCTGCATGCGGTACATACTCCGTACCGCGCAGTTATGTACACTTAACGTAATTAAGTTTACTTAACGTGTTACATTGAGTTGATCGAGTCCCGATCATCTATTCTAAATAGAAGCAAAACTGCAGTGGCCAGTACTCGGTGGCCCCACCCGGTACTTCCGCCGATGCCTAGTCAACGCTGTCCATGTTTAACGGCTAATAGCTGCTGTGTGGATGCCGCGCACATACGAAAATACGGAAAAACGAACACGTACGGAAAATACGAAAAATCCAACGGATACGGGTACGAAGTATCGTATGTGTGTTCCGGCCGTTGATCGAGCTGTCCTGTGACTGGCCATACATGTTGTGTGCTGTCTTCAAGCCAACACCGCACCCTGCTTCCCTGTCCTGTCCGTTGTTCGAGCCCTGTCATGGCGACAGGCTTGCGCAACGGCAGGGGTTTCCTGCGCGGCTGCGCGGAGCTGTGCTCGAGCAATGCGCTGCGAATGACCCCCAGCGGCAATGGCCACCGGAGGCCCGTGGCCTGCACCCAGCAGCTCAAGTTCTGGAAGTACCAGGGGTTGGGGAACGACTTCATACTGGTGAGCGCAGCTCAGGCGGTCTTTTCCGCTTGGGCGCTCTTCGAGATCGTGCATGTGTTGTGTCAAGAACACTGGACTTGCTCTACATTTTCCAGGACGCTGTGGGCATTGATTGGGCCAATGTTAACCACGGGCTGTGAGAAGCTGAGTGTCAAAAATGTTTAGCAGCCTGAGAGCTGAGTTTCGGAAAATCGAGTTTTTGGATCAACGGATGGCGTTCGCGCTGACGCGCGATGGGTCTGCAGGTCGACAGCCGCGGTGACAGTGGCCTACCGGTGACGCCCGAAGAGGCTGTTGGGCTGTGCGACAGACACTTTGGTGTGGGGGCGGATGGGGTGAGCACACAGGAGTCGAGTGCGTGCGCACGTGCGCTGCAGTGCATTCCTGCCCCTTTTGAGGATTATGTGCTCGTTATTCGTGGAGGGGCACTTTGAACTCATCAAATGCAGCAGGAGGTGCGATTGACAATGAACAGCGTAAAAGCAACTGTGCATGCCCTTAGACAAGAACGTGGCCGCTGCGATTAGCGGACTGTTGTGTTCTGTTGAAGGAAAGATGCCACTTGGTCTGTGGATGCACCAGGGCAAAATGGAATAGAGGACGAATGATGGGCACATCTGATGCACACAGTGTGGGGCAAGTTTGACAATCCTGATGGCTGGGAGCTGCCTGCTGGCCTTGTGCATGTCTTTATTCGTGTATGCCTCCCTTGTGTTGGACAGGTCATCTTCGCTCTTCCTCCTGTGGGAGATGCTGATCTGACAATGCGCGTCATCAACAGCGATGGTAGCGAGCCAGAAATGTGTGGCAACGGGATACGATGCCTTGCCAAATTCTATGCCATGCTGACTGGGAATGGTGGGAGCAGGTACAAAGTCCACACATTGGCAGGTATGATAGTGACCATTGAAATCTTGACAGACTCAGAATCGCCTGGTTTGGATTCTACCCATCGATTTTTCCCTCCCAAAGCAGATTCATTTCGGTGCGCAGGTCAGCCAATAAGAATCCTTAAAATGATGCTTCAACAACATGGGGTCGTGGCGTCTCTCTACTAGGAATGTTCCACTATTTTCTGGCAAGAACACATGGCGACCCTTCCAACCCAACCGCAAAATTTCAGATATCAAAATAGGAGCCCAATGTGACTCTTCTACACCTCTCTCCTTTGGGTATCAGGGCAAAACTCCAACCAAGCCGGGAATCGATATATTTCGGGGTGTGAATGCAATGTGAATTCTGATGCCTCTGCTTTTCCCATGGATTTCCTTTGTTTACTGGAGCAAATGGTGCTGCTAGTGCCCTGAACCCTGGACTCCAGTCCCCAAGGTCGGCGAATGACTGACTCTAAGCTGGGGGCACAAGTGGTGCAAGTGGAATCTTCTGGTCATCCTTTCTGGCCAGCCACAGGCATTGTAGACTGCGAGCATTCTTGTCGATGCTTTTTGACCCTCCATCAGTTAACAGTGCCTGCAACCCTGGCATTGTTTGGCAGGCTTGATGGAGCCCGAAATCTTGCCAGATGGCCAGGTCCGTGTGGACATGGGTGTCCCTGTCTTGGACGGGCCATCGGTCCCTGTCACGCTGTCTCCCACAAGCGATGGAATGGTTGTGGCCCAAGAGTTGGAGGTGGCAGGGAGTGAGTGGACAGTCACAGCCGTGAGCATGGGGAATCCACATGCGGTTGTTTTCAGCAGAGATGGGAAGCCCATCAAGGTGAAGGAAATGTGGCCACAACACTTCATGCAAACATCTGGATACATGTGTGGCAGATGTGAGAAGGGCCAACTTCAGTAGCCCCACATTGCCCTTCCAGACTGGGGGATTTAAATGGTGTGGTTGGATGTTCCACATCTTTTGTTTGAATTTGTCAAACAGCTAAAAAAACTGCCCCTGCACCTGGTGTGTGGGATGGCTGCTTGCAAGTCAACAGTGAAGCTGCCATTCACCATGTGTGACACTGAAAGATGGGACAGTCTCACATGTCAGTCAGTTGTCTTGCATTGCGATTGCAAGCAGAGCACAATCTGTGCTTGTACAATTGTCGTCAACATCTGGCCACTTGTGTTTTGGGTCTGAAATGCTGTTGTTTGTTCCTAGATCGATGATATTGACCTGCCATCCTTGGGACCATCCTTTGAGAACCACCAAGAGTTTCCTGCACGAATCAATACTGAATTCGTGGAGGTAAGCACCAGACAACCAATGTTCTTTCTCCTTGTGCAGTTTTTGCTGCCGGTGTTCGCTTATCTTACTTTCACTAATGGCAGACTTGTGTCTATCAATCTGTGTGTCACTTTGTAAATCAGGACACCGTTGCATTGCACACCAAAGTCAGGGCAACCACCCATGACAATCGAAAACTGTCAACTGCTTGTGCAGTCCCGACTGCCCTGTGTGCCAATTCAGCTGGTTAGCCAGAGAATAGCCGCTGCAATTTCCACCACCGCAGATGTTTGCCTACTCAGACTCTATAACAGTTTAACAGTAGTTGTGTGGAAGGTAGTTTCCCTGTCGTTGTATGCCATGGACAAACATCCATTGTTGCAGACTTTCACAGCCTGGGGTGCTTCCGCCCTGCGTGACACCATGCTTGGCCCATGTTCGCACCACCACTAAGTAGATAGTCCTCTTTCAGCTCGTCCTTTTCTGGTGGGTTTAGTTTGGCATTGCTTGGTTTCTGTTGTCTTTCAGGTCTACAACCCGAATCACGTCCGCATGTGTGTCTGGGAGCGAGGCGCAGGGATGACGATGGCCTGTGGAACGGGTGCTTGCGCCATTGTCGTTGCGGGGGTGTTGGAAGGCAAATTGGAAAGGAGATGCCGTGTGGACTTGCCAGGAGGGCCACTGGACATCGAGTGGAGCACTGAAGACTCACATGTTTTCATGACTGGCCCTGCGGAGCTGAGCTTTGCTGGGACTGTGAATCCTTGAGATGCCGTGTTCACTTTGTAATGCTTGGAATGGAATGATAAACAGCAGGTTGTGAGGCTGTCCATCATCCATTTGGCAGGGTGTAGGATCAATTTGGGGCTTGAGATTGTGGATTGCAAGTCAGAGCAAATTCCAGTTGCCAGCAATCATGAAGAGTCCCATGATCCTTCAGGAAGAATGGCAACGAATGGCAGAGCTGGTGTCAAACAGATCTGCACAACAGTGTCATGCCAGAGGGTTGTGGACACCAGGTGCCAATGGAAGCGTGCAGTGCACGTTTTCAGTGTGTACTGCGTCAGCAAGAGTTATCCTGGAGGGTTGGAAACGCAGTGGCCAATAGATTGTACTCCAGAAGTATGAACTGTTCGATGGAGGGTGCTTGCATCATTGTTCAGTTTTCCTAACAAGACAGTTTTGGTGCTTCCCAATCGCAAACTAAGTCTGTTTTCGTTGTTTCGTTCCTTGATCATCCCAGCAATGTAGCAGCTGAGATCGTCATTCATAGGTGTGCTGTCCCCAGTCTGCCGTGTTCGGCTTCCATCTCCTTCACTGTCCACAATGCCTTTGTCGCGGTCCCTACAGCCGTTGACAGACAGTGCGGAATTCACACCACATGCTGGGCATGGTTCAATGCCCCCCCTTGACTCTGCCTGCCTTCGTCAGCACCGCGGAGTTGCCCTGTGGCATTGAGCCCACTCGCTGGCAGGTATGAGCGATTCTTTGTGGAGGTCACTATTAACCGTCACTCTACCATCGCGTGATGCCCCGCCCACACGGGGCGCGAAAGGGCCTCCAAGCGACAGGGGCAAACCCTCGAAACCAGAACGAAGGAGTGTGTACCCCGCGCAGCGTCGCCGGGAACAATGGCGTGGACGCGGCAAGAGGATCTGTGGAAGATGATCGGCCCAGCCTTTCTGGTGTCGGTACGGACGGCCGGCGCGCTGCACGGGATGCGACTGGCGAAGCACGGCGGACGAGAAGGCCCGTCGCCGCGATTTCGCACCAGGGTTCCCCCGCATTCGCCGTCTGGGCATTGGGCCCTGCCGGCGTTCATGCCGATGGGAATCCGTGAGGAAAATTTTGTTGGCAGCTCGCCGCATGAGTGCTGCGCACTGAAGTCGAATTGGGGTTTCGCTGGTGGGACCAGGTTATGGAGCGCTGTGAGCTGCGGCGTAGGTGCAACCGCTCGCTTTTCCACCTGCGATCAGAAAGTTACCACGAATCGTGCACAGACAATGCCTGGGTTGGGACGAGAATGAGAGTTTTTGCGTATGTGTCTTTTGTGTCTTGGACGAGTCGAGTTGGCTCCCATGGCCAGTGGTAGCTGTCTTGGCGGAGTTGCGCAATATTTGGTCAGTCAGATGGCGCCCTTGTGGCTACTGCAGGTGGCGTACCTGGACCCCGGGAACTGGGCCACCGCCATTGAAGGGGGCTCGAGATTCGGATATCAACTGGTGGGTGGCTTTTGGCAGTTTGGGGAATCAGAGTAGCGAGGCGAAAGCAGGCAAAGGTAGTAACAGACACTCAAGAAAGGCAGTTTGTTGTTCTTGCTTTTGACATCGATTGCAGTGTGCGATGCAGAGCTTTAGCCAGTAAATGAGGCGACGGATTTCAGGATAGAATTGATGATGGTTTGCAACTTTGTGTGCTGGGTTTGGTTATTGCATTTTGCTGCTGTTGATCAGGTGGCTGGAGCGCAGAGACTGGAAGTGTTGTGTTTCTGTCTCACGCTTGGACATCTCTGAATATGTTGGAACTTAGAAATGATATCCTGGATGGGACAAGTATTGGGTACCTAAAATTCTTAGTGTGTTTTTGATGTTTGCAGGTGTGGGTTGTGGTTGTTTCCAATTTGATAGCTATATTGCTACAAACACTGGCGGCAAGGCTAGGTTTAGTTACTGGTAAAGATTTGGCTCAGGTGGGTGTCTTTATCTTGACCCTTGTATGGCACATTGTTGGGTACGGCAGTGGGCACACGTCTGCAGTGAGCTCATTTCTGCACTTAATTTCGCACAATGCAGGTGGTAACTAGGGAAACGTAGAAATTCTGCTGTTATTGTGGTCCAAAAGTACTTATCGAATCTGCACTGAGAGGCATGGACTGGTTCTCCAACACCTTGTCAACCCGTCCTACTTTTGAAACCTATTTGCATGACCCTGACTTTATCCGCACCACCAATGGCCTTCAATAAAGCCACAAACCAACATGATGGCTTCTTGGATGTGCGATCGTTCTCCATTAGGACTGGGTTAGTTTATCCTTTCTTGTGCCAACAAAGGCATCTGTCCAGCCGCCTGCTCTGCCAGTCACAGTGCTTGCCGTATTGCACTATCCTGCTTGTCATCGCTGAAAGGAGCAGGGATATTTCTGCTCGTTACTCACCCTCTTGCTTTCTAACTTATCCTGCCGGTAGCACCCTAATACCTGGATAGGAAAATTGTGTGTTAGTTGATTTTCAGTTGATTGTGTTTTTTTCAGGGATGGATGTTGTCCAAACATGGAAAGCAAGAATGCACAGTGTGAATGATTTTGCAGATATGTTTTGCATGGACCAACCTATTGGTTGTTCCCTTTATTGCTATGCGTTGGTGTGTCTGGTACCCTCCAAAAAATTGATGGCGTGAAGGGAGATGCAGTCGACAAAACAGAGTAATGTTTTAAGAATGAGCTCTGAGTAGGGTACTCAGACTTTCTGTGACCTTGAGTATTTCATACGTGTTGTGAGAATTTGGAAGCGACTGTCCTCTGTTGCTGGCATGTATTGTCGCTGTCCCAAGAGTTTTGGGAGGAATAAACTCCTTTTCTCTGGTGCACAGGTCTGTCATGAGCAGTACCCTATGCCTGTGTGTGTGGTGCTGTGGATGCTGTCAGAAATCAGCATCGTGGCTCTCGACCTGACAATGGTTTTGGGTGAGTAACATGTGTCATCCCAAGTGTGAATACAGAACCTGCCTTGCCAAGCCTTGTCCTTGTTCTCCCATGCACTGTGAACGGCCTCTTAACTGTTATCTATTATGCATCTTTTCTCCGTTTCGAAGCCTCTACTGTGGGGAAAAATGTCGCTGAACTTGACTCTGTGGACGTGTTGTAGGTACAGCGATTGGCTTGAACCTGCTGTTCAGGCTGCCCCTGCTACCTTGCATTCTTATTACCAGTCTCGATGTTGTCCTCATACTTTGGCTGGTCCCAAAGAGGGGCGCCAGATGGTCTGAACTCCTGACCATCATACTGGTGGCTCTGGTGCTGCTCTGCTTTCTGGTGGATGTGTTTCTCAGTGCGCCACCCATCAACAAGGTTGTTGGCGGCCTTTGGCCAAGAATCGAACCAGATTCTTTGTACACTGCAGTCTCGCTTCTGGGTGCCAATGTGATGCCTCACAACTTCTACCTTCACAGGTGCAGGCCTTGATGTGTGGCTGTGTGTTGGTGTTGATTGTCAGGTTGCGAATGTTGCACATTCAAAGTTTTCAGATGTAGAAATGATCGCACTGAATTCATACTGACTTGCCTTTACGCTTTTGAACTCCTCCCCGTGCTTGACGTTTTGGTCAACTCAGAAGTCCCCCCAGTCTGGAGCCCCAGGTTCTTGCTGAACTTGGGTTTTGTTCTAGAAGAAAGGTGTTGTGCTTTAAAAAGATAAGCGACTGAATCGATATTGTGCTGTAATGCAGTTGACCACTTGTTCACCTGTTCTGTACTTTGCTTCTGATGCTGAATTGTGAATTTTGCTTGCTTCAGTGCATTGGTGAAGGGGCGACCACGAGAGGGACTGTCGGTGGAATCCATGTGCTGGTATAATTTCATAGATGTTACCTTTGCCATTGGGGTGGCACTGCTCATCAACCTGGCAGTTCTTGTGGTTTCAGCAGCAACATTCCACTCTGCAGGTGAGAAAGCATGCCAGAACCCTGTCGACTTCATTTGTTGCAGGGGCTGGATGTGCCACTTTGTGCAATGCCTTTTCTGCTGCTTTTGAGAATCTGAGCAGTGCCGAAGGGTACGCAAAAGTCGTTGCTGCTGGTCGCATGTTGTAAATCTGGCTTTTTTCTGTGCATCTATGCAGGTATCTCTGAATGCTAGTTTTTTGCAGCTGTGTCTGTCTGACAGCTGCGTTTCACTTGCCACTGCCAACAGGCGTTTTGATTGTAGTGTCACCTTCTGTCCACTGTTCGTCAGATGAAGCATTGTCCATTCACCTTAACATTAGGCTATGCTGGCTGTTCAGCATGAATCATTATTTCCCTGTCAAAAATTTCATTCAGCGTGCAGATCTTTGCCAATGCACAACAGGCATCGCGGTGGAGACCCTCCAAGATGCTCACGACTTGATGGAGCAGCTCCTCAGCAGCAGCATTGCTCCAGCTGTGTTTGGGCTTGCTCTGATGTTTGCTGGGCAGCTGTCAACTTTCACGGGCACGATCTCTGGGCAGGTTGTGCTCCAGGGATTTCTAGATGTAGAGATCAGCCCGTGGCTTCGGAGGCTGACAACAAGGACGGCAGCGATTGTGCCTGCTGCAATCATCACACAGCTCTATGGCGCCCAAGGAATATACAAGTGAGGAATGTCTCTGAATCACTTTGTGATGCGAACGATTAATATGAGCCTCATATGGGGAATATGGAATTAAATTAAGGGTCGATTGATGTGTGCAGAGTTGTGTGACCAAAATCGTGCACCAGATGCCACGGTCAACCTTTTGCTACCATTCATGGCTGCTGCATTGATCCAGTGTTGATGCAGCTGCGATCTGGTTCCAAAGATGTCATGTTTGATTCAATAGCATCAGCTGCTTGTGAGCTAGCATAGGTCCATACCAAGCATCAGCTGCTTTGATTCCCCGAATGCAGAAGTGCTGCAGCTCCCTAAGACCTTCACATCAATGTCCTGAAAAGGCAGCTCTGGCAACATCCCATTCCCTGATGTATGGGCATTCTCGGGCATGCATGTGCTTGTAGTCTGCCTGCCTGTTTTGACCAGTGGTGCGCACAGCGTTCCTTAGTCTGAGAGCTTGGTTGTGTGCAAAGCTAAGCATGTCTTAGAAAGTCTGTGACTACTCTGAGAGTGCACTGTGATACTGTTCGATGGTCATTGCATTGGCATATGGGTCCTGAACATGAATTGGCATTTGAGCAAATTACCAAGCTGTTTAGGAGTTCTGTTGTCCCATACCTTCATTACCAGTTTACAAGCTTCCAAGGAGGCAGGCCTGCCTACCAAGTGTCACATTGCCTGCTGTGTGGTCCATGTCCACACGTCCTCCAAGTGCATGCCTAAGATGTGCCTGTTTGGTGCCTCAAGGATGTTGGTGGTTGCACAAATTGTACTGGCCCTGCAGCTGCCTTTCACACTGGTCCCCCTGATCAAGGCCACCTCATCGTTGCGCCTCATGGGGCGTTTTGCAAGTGGCCGAGTTCTTCAGATGCTCTCCTGGGGAGCAACAGCACTCATTTTCCTTGGGAACCTAATGTTCCTTGTCAGCATGCTGGTGTTGCCACAGCGGGAGGTCCGGTACAATGTGCCTGACCCAGGTGAGTTCCCCTTCACAAGAACTACCCCTGGGGTGTCCATGTTCTTGACAGGTTACTTAAGGAGACAATAATCTCTTCAGATATGTCAGGTCACCTTACTAAGCGACTACTGCTGCCCCAGATGGAAGAACTAGGTCTGGGAAAGTTGATTCTAGGTTGAGCTAGGTTTGGGAAGGTTGATTAGGACTCGCATTGTGACATGGCACTACTGTGTGTAGGGGCAGCCAACAAACTCTTCTCTCCCTGGATGGCAGTGCTCTAGCTGCAGCCAAGCGAGTGCGCTCGTTCTGCCCATCCTTAAACTGGTATGCTGTTGAAATCACTGCTGGTGTGCTCATCGCCCTTGTTTGCTTCTCTGTAATATCTGTGGTGAAGGCATGCCTGCACAATGAACCTGTGAAGTTCTTGCACGCATCAAGCCAGGTAACATGTTGTGCTGGCTGAAAATGCTGCACATCAGATGCAGGCATGTGACATGCAGGCCCACACTTTGATGCTTTATGTGGTCAGCATATGCAGGGAACGATTGGCCTGCTGGCATCAACCTTTGGTTCGTTCAGGCGACAGGACTTGCGCGGGAGTCCCCTGTGCAGTTGGCTGCTTTCCTGTCCCTTGTGCTCCTGGCCAGCTCTGCAGGTGGCCTACTGCTTTGGATGCTGGGCACACCCCTGAACCACTCGAAAGACACACACCTCCTGGACTGTTGCAGCGATAGCGACTCCGAGGGGTTGGCCTTGGAGAATGGGGAGGCTGGTGAATTTGCTGGCAGCAGCCAGGTGGCTGTGGGTAGCGACGCTGAGGCGGTCAGTGCCCTTGTGGTCAAGGGCGCCCGGCATGGTTGCTGGAGTGCAAGCAGCTGGGAGGAGGTGCTTCAGGACTTGAGGCCTTTGCTTCAGGATATAGCGATCTTGCCGGTGCGGTCTTCTGTCCTAGGGCAAATGCCTACAGGAGGTGTGCGATGAATGATGTGCTGTGGTTGCCGCATGCAAGTGCAGTTCCTGAAAATAAATATGAGAATCCTCACGCTTGTCCACCTGGCTTGCTGCCTTGCTAAGATTTTTGCTGCTGTATGCATTCAGGACACTGCAGGTGCCCTTCCACTCAGTCTGACGCAAGACACCATTCCTGACAGTTGGCCGATGCTGCCCTCTCAGCCTTCCGCATCAGATGCTTTGATGGCTGTGCACAGAGCCAAGGCAGCTGGGTGCAGCAACCAAGAACCCTGTAAATCTCTTTCAAATCTGCATCCCCAGCTGGGAAGGAGCATGCGGCGCCAAGCAGTCACGGCACTGGATAACTTTTGGTCCAAATTCTTCGACCTGCATGGCAGACCCCTGTTCTCTTTCTCCCCCAACAGGGACACAAGTCCTCCAGGGACTGCTGATTCGAAATCGCAACAGCTGTCAACGACGTCCCATTCAAGGGCGAAGAACCCGTTGTCTTCCATAGCAAACGACCTGGCTGAGTGTCTGGGCGAGTTGCACCGCCTCGAGGGAGGGCAAGGGTTGTTTGAGGTCCAAGTTGGCACTGTTTGGGAGAAGAACGACCAGATGGTGTCCCAACTGTGCTACATGATGGTGAAACAGTGTGAAAATTTCCCTGAGTTGGGTGGCCACAGCAAGGCCACCGCTCTCACAGCCGGAGGGAGGCCTGCTGGGGCGAGTTGCTGGAAATGTGGGTGCGATGTTGAGTTTATGGAATCCGTGCAGCCGTGGTGCTGTCTTGGAAAATGGGCCCAGGAGTGGGTGCTGTGTGATCCCCGTGACCTGCTGTACGTTTTTGGACTGTGGTGCATGGTCCGCCTGCTGGAGTTGTGCAAGATGGAGCCCAGGCCAGAGCTGTGGGGCAGGTACGCTGCGGTCCTGAATCGGTTGCAGTGGATGCTGCCCACAATGATGATGGATGGCCAGTTTGGATCCAACCATAGCGGCCAGAGGGAGGCAGTGTTCCAGATGCTCGACGAGGTTGAGTCCTCAGTGCAATCCAAACGAGGACCTAAGGGGACGGCTGCTGGAGACGTGGCATTTCCAAAGGTGTGGGTATGAAGATTGTCTTGTTCACAGGAAGGAAATTGTCAATGGAATAGGCGCTACCATCTCCTGAGTAGGCTTTAGTGTCAGTGTATGTTTCTTCCTGTAGAACTGTACACAATGTGTCTGTGTGCAAGAGCAATAGCAAGTAACAGAGTGGCATGGTTGCCCAGAAACCATGCAATCAGAAAGGCAAGGCCTCACCACAGGGCCTTTGGAACAGACATCGGCAGAAGCAGATGTCCATTAGATGTTCGCATTATGATGTGGGGCCAAACGTCCACATATTGTAGGATTGATGTTCATGTTAGCCTGTGGAATCTGAACATATTGCAGACAGGTTTTGAAGGCCAAAGAGTGCAGGGCACACATATGTCTCCACACAAGTGAGACCAATGCCAATGCTGTAGAAGTGGGGGCGTGTATTCGTAGCTATCTTGCTCTGCACTTTGGCTCTCAGCAACATAGATGGAGGAATGGCTTTTCCCATGCAGTGATTCGCATGTGCAAGTGCTCGCACAATCCAGCTTACCACTGCCTGCGTGTGCCAGGCACTTGAATCTATAGCTTGCCTGGGCCCAGCAGAGGATTCAGGTTTTGCGCCCCGCTGCTATCCTGGAAAAGGTTCTCGATTCTCAGACACGCTCACTGATCCCATCAAGTTGCCAGCATCCCTGCCTTGGGCTTGGGACTTTTTGCTATGGGTTTGCTGAACATTGGCTGATACAGCATGCAGTGTTGCGCTTGTTGCAGCCCCATTTCGAGCTATGGCAAATGAGTAGCTGTTGCTGTCTATGTTGGACATGCACAATGCCAGGGAAATTTACGCAGAAAGGCGTTGCAAGCTCAGATCTGTCTAGTTTCTGATCCCCTGTGCTTCTTGCAGAATGACTGATTGATCGAACAACTGATGGATCGACTTATCGATCGAGTGCAGCGCGCCTGTCCGATGGATCTGTTCTGTGCTTTGCAGGGAAAGGAGATCATCATGTCAGTCATAAAAAGGTACAATCGGGGCCTTAAACCAGGTGGGCAGCGGTCAAGCAGTAATCGGCCAGAGAGGAGAGGAAGGTCGTCGGCTGTGGTGGAACACAGCCTGGCTGCCGTGCTGCTCATGGCCTTCACTGTGGCAGCGCTGTCCTGCTCTGGAGGCAACGAAGTTAGGTCGGGCCATATGATGTAGATATGGAATGAACCATTCTGACTGGATGGAGTCCAATGCTCAGTGCGCATTGTATCTCTTGCATTGTATCTCTTTGCGGCCACATACATTCGCTGGATCAGGGACCGCCGTGAATCCGAGGTGCCCGGGTACTGAAGTGTGAGGCTGTGCTGGCGCGGAGTGTAGCTGCTAGAAATTCGAACTCCTGGGGTTAGACTGTGTAGGCCATGATGGTGGAGGTGCCAAAGGCTGTTGCGTGGCCTACCCCCCCCCCCCCCCCCCCCCCCCCCCCCCCACCACCCACCCCCCCCCACACACACACACATCATGCCATGGATTTGGAATCGACAAATTGCCCATGCATGTGCCGGGCTAGTCGGGCCAGGCGGAGGCCAGCACATTTGTGCGCACTTTGCGCGCTGTGCAAACAGGCCGACTGTGAAGCTGCAAACAAACAGGCAACTATCAAGCTTTTTGCATGCACAATAACTTGTAGCCGTCAAATTTGAACTTCAAAATGCAAGGGCTGACGCCCAGGTCGGCGTTGTTTCGCCCTTTGAAGACACACGGAATCTAAGGGATTCAGGCTGTCAGTGCGATGTCGAATTGCTCGTCTGCCAAGAAGAGGCACACACCAACATGTGCTGTGGCGTCTTGTGTTTTCATCCAGCTGAAGACGTGGCTTTGGAAGTATTCCAAACTTACGCCCACCACTGAGTAGTCCCGTGCTCCCGAAGACCTGGTGTGCCAATCTTCGTTACAACACAGGTTGGTGGCCACACGCAGGGTGGGGGGCAGTTGAGAGCGTGGGCTGCGAAATGACGATCGTGAGAATCGGGGAAGGCATGTGTAAAGGCGACCCGAACATAGGGCAATCGTAGAGGAGGTATCGTGCGCAACCCGACTGCACAGTTCCGAAGGTCCCATCTCTTGTTGGACAGGGCGGCTTCAACAGCAGGTGGCAGTCTGAAAACTCGGAACACCACTGACTTTGATCGTTGCTATTCCGCTGGGCACGGGCGCTGTAATGTTTCCACACCGTAAATTCACTGCAAAGCCAAGCGGTGCCCTTGAGTCCATTGCCTTGTTATACGATTCACTATGCACAACCGCAGCTGTCGTCAGCGCTAATTGTCGCACATACACATCACATGCCGAGACATGGTTTTCATCTTGGTCAGGTTTTGGTATCCGATCCTTGCAAGCGCCCAGCGCACAATGGAACCTCCGGCAGAATGCGTCGCCCTGCCTGGCGCCCTATTCAACAAAGCCTGGGTCTGCAGGGTACTGGGTGGTGCTGCCGTGTGCCATGAGCAGTTGCTGTGGCCCTGTTCACGGCAGATGTGCTGAGTGTCCAACCGCAGCCTTCAAAACACTGTTGTGCCCCCGCAGACTAGTTGAAGCCATCTCCAGGTCCAGGGCTCCCAAGTTGAAGTGCTGCTGAAAGGGCGGCCCCTGAGTCCACGACGTGGCTGTTCAACACACATTCAATTTGTCACACATTTTGTGGCTCTGCGAACTTTGTTGAGGTGCGGCACCAAGACGCATTACGGGTTGGTGCCCAGCTGGACAGGGTTTTGCACTTGGGTCTGCGTCCTAGTGGGGAGCTAGGCATCGGGATTTCGTTTGCGTTTATTTGTGCGTGCACATCAGTGCCAAGGCCTCGTCGTTATTCGTGGGGTACAGCTCTTTTCAGCCAGGCCTCGCTGGCAAGTGATGAACTGTTGCAGTTCTTCCTGGCCACTACAAGCGATAGCATGTTTCCGTCACTGTTTGTCATTCACTGCTGTTTTACGTGCGAGTGGCCACCCCACTTCTCAAAACTGGGGCTGCGCGTGACGCTGCCTGACTACTTGCTATCAACTGACCTTCTGTTTCGAGCCCATTGGCGTCTAGAACATGACAAAATGCAATATTCGAGTATGCCAAAACATGCAACTATCAGCATTGTATGGAAACGGTGGTGTTCGCAACATTTCGACTCGTAAAATGTGTGCATTCATATGGCAGTGAATTCTCACCAAATACGCCGTATCCAACGCCAGCACTTTGATTTAACATGCATGGATGGCGAAACGGGCTCTCATTCCCAGCCACCGCAAATTCCCTGCGTGCATTACTCGAACAATCTCCGCCACGCCTCTTGTATCGTACTCTTGTCGAAGCACAAGCTGGTACAAGATTGATCAAATTCGGGACATTTTGGATGGCCCTGGTGACGCGATCTTTAATGACGAGACCGCAGCACAATGCGCTGGATTTTCTCACCTGCTCGAAGTTGGTCGCCATTCACCTTAGTCTCGGAGGCCGCCGCCACTGGCCCCATCACCCCATCCGTCCAAACTTGCCCTCTTCTTCGGCCCTCCAGTGCGTGGCTCCCCATTTCCCGAGGCCCTGCTCTGTGCGGCCACTGCGACGCATCGCGTTCAAGGGCTTCTGCTCGGGGGAGGGGATTTACAAAGCGCGTCATGTAGTCAGGGCGGAGCCCGCCCCGCCTCGCGTGGATCGAAGCAGGTGACTGCGCGACACCTTCCTCTGCAATCCGCGCCAGCGACCCACCGGCGGGCGTCGGAAAGCCTCCGTCGTACACCATCTGTCCAATTTCCATGCGTTTTGTTTGCATGGCCCGTGGGATCTGAAATTCATGATCAGGTGCTCCAGCGCCCGGCTCGCCGGCAACTGGATTGGAAAAGAAGTTGACGTTGCCGCCGCCAAAGGGACCCCCATGGAGGCGCACTTGATGATCTGGGTGCCCATCCAGCAGCTCCTGTTGGCTCGAGCCTCTCGAGGCGATAGAGCGAAATACTCAATTTCGTGCAGATTGCGTCATGAGAGTCATTGCGCTGGCAGCGGGAAGGGGGCATTGGTGTGATTGCTGGTTACAATGTGCGGCACTTTAGACTTGTCTGGAGAAGGATACGATGGCGATACTTCGCGACGAAATTTCGACGTCTGAACGGTTTTCGCGGCCATTTTATAGACTTATCGAGGCCCCGCTTCAAATATCACAAACATGTGTGGCGAAACGGAATAGCTCAGAAAATTATCTGCAGTGCAGGGGTGGGGAGGATTCATGCAAATCGCGTGAAGGGCTCGCATTCGCCGCAGTCGCTCACCTGTTTTCCTTGCACTTTAGGCCCAAAGATTTTGCAAAGTTTCCGCCATCAAGGTACCCTCCGAAGAAAGACCCAACAGTGGGGATTTCGTCATCCTGATTCGAAACAGTGCCACTGACTCAAAACAAAATATGACGATACCACATTGAAAGAGCTTTCCGAATTTTTCTGTGGTGCCATTTTAACGAAATGCACGCCTACTTTGAGCCTCGAACGCCATAATTTTAAAACTCGCAATGCATTACGCGGTAAAAATGGCACAGGCTATTATGTACCTGCGGCACTCAGTAAACTACTGAATTCCAGATACATGTAGCTTAATGATTGCTTTCAGATGGCAATGCCTCTATGCGACATTCTGATTATTTTTAAACCGCCGGAATCAAATCCATCCAATCAGTGAGCAAGGTACATGATGATTGAAGCTTAATCTTGCTAATTCTCATAGATAAAGACACCGCCAAAATGATTGGTGTTTCAACTGTCATTCACATATCCTAACCCCACATATGAGGCCGTGGTGCAGATGTATTTTGCTCATCGGCATAGCTTGGGCATATGTCGCCCATTACTTTTGTAAAGAATGCAATTCTTGACTAAAGTTTCCTGTCGTTTTTTACAACTCGACCTGCAAAAGTATCTAAGCATCGTCTCCATACCTTTTCAATCTTCATTTCGTATCTGGACTTCTTCCGCTTTGGACTTTTCAGCTTCCTCTTTTGCTTCATTTTCCAACATGCGTAGCATCCGGAGACAATGATGATGGTGAGGGCTATCAGCAGCACCGCAAGTGCACCTCCATTCACGCCTCCGCTCTCTGGAGATGAAGGGGTGTGCACTGCCGGAGGCTCTTCCAAACCAATGAAACATTTCGGGTAAGCAATAGCAACCATTTAGGCAATTGCCACACATAGGTATCAGCCCAAATTCCATCACACAGCAAAAATTTGTATGTAAATTTTTTTATCCTCTCTCCTACCACCAAAATGGAAGGATACATTCCAGCTCATCAAAGGTTATTGGATCAGCTGGTCAGGTTGGGCTGATTCAGTGAACCTAGTTATGGTGCTTCCTATATGGGGAAAGCAAAAACACCAAGATTTAGGCAACCTTTCACTACGGCTGGCATATAATTAACTATGTGCAACTGGAATATTCCAGTCGCAACAACCAACACCTGCAAAAATTAATCAATTACGGGAATGTCACCTGTGGAATTACGAGTGCGAGCGTCCCGCTGCTCGTTTTCCCTCTCCACATCAGAGGCAGGAGTATCGCACTGTGAGGCGGCGGCGAAAGGGTTGTTCTGCAAAGACGCAACAGGCGACATTTTCTTTCACGGCCTTTGAGCGACCAAATTGCGTCAACGCCCATGCAGTATCAAGAGCTACGGAGGAAACTTGCAACGTTGCTAGACGTTCTGCCCCTCATCATCCATGATTGGAAAGCCTGACGAACGGTGGCAAGGCTTCGGATCTAGCGAAGTTCTCTGACGACTATTGGTGTCTCGGGCAATGACAAGTCCAGTTAGCTGTTATTTCGGGCGAAGGCTGCAGGGTCTGAAGCTGCAAGGAATTCTCCATAAAGAAACAAACCTAAAAGCTGAATGCCAAATATGATTTCAGGCCCACCAGATAAGTGCTCAGACAAGAGTAAACCAATAACAACAAGCGAAGAACGCGCACAAATTTTAATGGCCGCATTTCATTACAATGCACTCTGTCGCTGCAGCTGCACCGCTCTGCAAGATTGCAAAACCAGCCGACTTCAAGCAGGCTCTGTGCGCGCCAAGCTGTGCAGTCCTTGCGCCATGCTAAGGTTTCAAATATTGTGTACTAACCTCAGTGATGACACAACGCATTACCATAATCGAGTCCAACACGGGATCAAATTTCGCAACAGCAGTGGCATGCTGGAGGCTGCTGCAATTGCTGCAGCAGCTGCTACAGCCCTCAACATTGCCGGAATAACCTCCTGTGAAATCTCGCGTGAGCATACACGTAGCGTCTCTAGTAGGTGCGCTGCAAGATACGCTTCACAACGCCATTTTGGTCCATTCGCTTCAAACATGAGCCGCCCCGAGTAGCCACCTGTCCGCCGCCTCCTCTGGTCGCCCAGCCCTCCTCGCACGTGCACACGCACCCTTCTCCCAGCGCCCCATGGACGCACGTGGGAGGAAACAGCACATCGGCGCAGCTTCCCTCCTGCAATGACGGCATTCGTCGGCTTTGGGGCGAATTGTGATTTTCAAAATGGTTGCTTCGCGGATTCGACCGCAAGCGGCCGTCCTCTGCGCCATCGCCACTGCTATTCGCACAGATCAGATTGAATCTGATAAAGCAGTAATCTGATCTTATAATCTGATGTGCACAATTTTTGTGTAGCAGATCACTGCCGTCTATCGCGACTGCCGTGGTGCCCCCAGATGGGCCTCCGAATAACGGCGTCGTCATCCTGCGGAAGCCGCAGCTCTTTCCTGAAAGACGTTAGTTCTGTACCAGTCAGGGTGCCCCAAAAACCTGATCAAAATTACCAAGAAACTCGCAGTCTAAAAGAATAAACAAGACCGGACAGGAATAGCAGGCACTAGGAAGAAAAAGGGCCAAATAACACTTTTGCGAACACACATAAAACACATTTCATCAAAGTTCTGCAAGCTAAGAACACAAAAATAACACAAACCCGTAAACTTTGTACACGTTTGAACACGTTTGTTTGGCCCTTTCTTCCTAGTGAGGGAAGCCCTCACAAGTTCGCACCGCCAGGACATGCACATACTCCTTGTAGCACGCCTTCACTTTGCCACAGCGCGCACTTTCGCAACGATTTCTTCAACAGGAGAGCCTTCGAGACTCATCGCGCACTGACGGGTGACTCCCAGTGAAAGCTTCTGGCAGCGGCGCGGCGGCTGTTGCCATTCTTTGTGCAAACCACAACGACCGTATTGCTAATTCCCCGCGACGGAGCTCTTCGCCCTCCACACCCACCGAATCTCTGCTTGGCATTGCCGGCACCAAAACTCCTCCCAAACGCGCTCCAGTGCCATTGTCCATGTCGGAAACCGCTCGCACGTGTGGCGGCGAGCGCTGCCTCAAACCGGGTCGGCCGTCGACAGGACCTATGAGGAAAGCGTTGGCCTCTGCGGGCCCACTCACCGACATTTTCCCGGCTGCCGCCCGTGCCGCGCTTTGCTGGCGGCTCCCCAATCAACACAGCTCAAATGGTTCCAGGAGTCGGCCCCACGCTGCCTCCCGATGTCCCGAAACGGCCGTTGACGTCCAAGCGGACTGACCCACAGCGGGTTGACGTCAAGGTCACAGCTGACGCCAACAAAGACCTCGAAACACTGTTCAGGTTGTCTGCAGGGTTTAAATTTGGGCTCCCTTGGGGGAGCTTGGCTCGTGTCCGGTGTTTGCGGTAGGCGGTTGGGCCGTCGCGGGGGCTGCTGCGTCGGGATTCGCTGGATGCTGAAGATGAATGGACTTTTGGTGACTTTGCTTCGGTGGTCAGAGTGCAATGTAGCGCAAATGTACTGGGAAGGATTGAGTGCCCTGCGTGCAGCCTTTTTGCCTGATCTTCACTGCTCGCGCTGATCCGTAAGATCCGGGCCGCAGAACAATAGTTTTCGCTCTTCCAGCACGGAAACCGCAGAAAGAGCGCTCTCAGCACGTACGACAGAACTATCCATGGGGACCGTGTGGTGCTCGGGGGCCTACGGTATGGACGAGGGTGTCGGTAGAGCCAGTGTGTTGATCAAAGCCAACTGCCACAGTCACCAGATTGCAGGAGATACCTGGTGCTGTCACGCTTCATTCGCGATGTTACTGCGGCACCCTTGTTTGCATCCGATGAACTTGGGCGTTGTAGCAAGTTGCTCAGTTTGGAAGCTCCCAGCACCATCTCGGTTGCTATTCAATCAGGCGTCAGGTCCACCAACGCCCCAGCACTCGCCACCACCACTTTGAAGACTATGGAAACATGCCACGGCAATGTTGCGGCAATCGTCATTTTGGGCCGTCCGCTTGCAGCCTCCGAGCAATAAGCCAGCACGTGGCCTCTGTGCGCAGTGCCTTGTCACACCCGTGCAACCTGAACGTACATGACGGCAGGTGGCTGTGAAAGTGTTGCTTGTACAATCGGGAAACATCAAAAGTGCAGACAGCGTGACCGATGCGACCCAGAAGGACTCCCACGAAGCCGCCAACGCCTGTTTAGGCGATTTCAATTTTCGCAACGCTCACAATGCCTTCCGTGCAGCCTGTGCTCATCTCACGGATGCTCTGTACAAAGGTGCATGCCGGCCCGCCTATGCTGTTCGTCTACACGATCCTTTAAGAGTCTCAAGAACCACTCCAGCCGCGATCCACTATTACTACCAATGTGTCATGCAATCGTCACTGCCCTTTGCAGCAGGCGATCGCGTCCCTCCAGGATGTTTCTCCGTTCGCAGACGACGTTGTCTCTACCCGCTGCACGAGTCATATCAGCTCCGCAACATTCATCGGCTGCAACAATAAGAAAAGATATTCAGGAGCTGGGGCTAGACACCGTATAGATAAGGATACAACTGAGAATTTTGCCGCGATAGGCAGCACTGTTTCATTGCAAGAACCACCGCCGTGGTAGTCTCAATACGGACGCCAGGGGAGGTTGCAGTAATGACGCATATCGAATGCACACAACAGCGACCATATCCACTACAGTCCAACGTCAACAGGGAACTTCAAGAGCAACTACACTGCAGACTGTTTGAAGCGGGCGTCAACTAACATACAACGACTAGCAGCAACGAGACGGACCTGCAGACGGCTGTGCCACCCTACTGTTGTTCTGCCAACCCAAGCAGTCCAAAATGCGCCTACTATTTTGGTCATGGTGAAAGCGAAAGACACGCTCGATGAGCCGGCGTCAGATTCCACAACATGAGGCGCCATGGCCCCACTGGCATAGAACTCGCCCGACTCAGTGTTGCAGTGACGTGTCACACACAGCCAAAGTCACAGGCGCAACGAGGCAAGCCACACCAATGGTTAAAGTTCTTTGACACAGTGCGGCAGTGATACAACAGTGCTGCTGAATTTTTGCACCTCCAGGAAAGATGTGTTCCCAACCTGGATATTGCTGCACCGTCCGCAACTGAAAGTTGGTGCTTAAATGCGAATGAGCAGCTTGTTTCAAAATGGAGGTGTTGCTGTTCGTCGCCTCCAATGGGCCCATTACATGCATCCCAAGAACCGTATGACGAACAGCATATTGAGCAGTCCACTAAACGGGAACAGGCGAGGTGAGAGACATAAATAGCAACTGACCATTTCATCGATCTGTGTACTGTAGTACTGCTCGATGTCCCGAAGGATGCGGATGTCGTCATTCCTCACGAAGTTGATGGCGACGCCCTGCAGCGTCAAACAAAATAGGGTTTCTCCCACCAACCCTTGCCTGCAATTCTGGATCAGGGTTTTCCTAAACCTTCATTGACTAAAGGGCTGCAGCCACTCCTTCCCACTACAGGAAGTGGAACCTTCCTTCACAGACCACGATGCGTCCCAGGGAATTGCTTTCATGCCCATACAGCAGCTCCATGACTATGAACTGCAGGTTAGCAAAAGGATGAATGCACCCAGGAATTTGGGGAAAGCTAAAAGGTGCCAGCCAGCCTCCGAAAGCTGCTTGCAGTGCAGCGCTGCAAGCTACAGAATCACAGCTATGTGCATGCCCAAAGAGACTTTGGAGGGAACATGTGGCAGGACAACAGGATAAGAAACAAACATGACGACAGAGGTACCCGGCCAAGTGTAGCCAAGCCATTTTTACACTTCTGGCAGAGGAAACTATGATCCCTGAGAATACACAACTCCTATGCTTGAAGTTTGTGTGCAATTTCGATTTTGACTAGCTAAGCAAACTGAGCGTGATCATTCAAGAACAATTTGATCCCAAGCCACACCAGCCCAAGGTGACGCAGGTTGAGACAAATCTGATCGTTGGTTCATACGATTCATTCCCTGCTAATATCTTCTAAATAGCATAGATACACAATCGACACGCTGTTCAACGGAACTGTAGCCAGGGATGACATGTCTCCAGCGATGCGCACACACCTTGCGGCCGTATCTCCCAGACCGGCCAATCCTGTGGATATACAGTTCCCTGCTATTTGGCAAGTCATAATTGATGACAAGGGAAACCTGTCCACAACCAAAGGCAACCAAAAGTCAGGCATGTAAAATTTTGGAATATGAATGCATGAGTGAATAGTCATCAACACAGCCTCAGCACCGTCAATGCTGGCACCATATTCCGCTCCAGTCCATTTGTGGAGGGCACGGTGCCAGCCACTGCGGCAAATTTTCAGCATTCATCTGCCAGTGTATGCCTGTCATGGCAGCTGGTAACCATGAAGTCCAAAATGAAGTCCAAGAAATTTATTCCATGCAAAAACATGCAGCCAGTCTCTTGCAGTAACTTCAGTCTGTTCATGAGGTGAGACATAGCAAGTCTCCTGCATATGGCAAACAGATATCTTCCCAGTTCGCTGGGGTTTGAGTGGTCAGGTGGGGGAGGTGTTCTGGCAGTGATAAGAGCTCAAGGGCTACAGAAGCTGATGCAGCAGATTCTTCATTTGTGCACACTGATGAATGGAACAATGTGATGTGTGACTCTTCCTGTGCGGAGGCAAGCTGTGGCAAAAGTCAGTTCAAAACCCAAAAAATGGTCCTCCTGCAGTGCGCAACTGTGGGCAGGAACACGGTATTGCTTGCAAGAGTGACAGCAACTGCTGGACAGAAACGATGAAAAACCCAGTCATACAGATAAGCAAATGATGGCAACCACCATTTGTTTGCACCTGCTGAACATCCAGTCCTCTTGCCCACACATCTGTTGAAATCAACACACGTGACCTTCCACTCCTGATCCAGAAACAGGCTGCGTCAGCCAAGCTTACACGGCACTTCAATTTTGCGCCAAGTCTGTGGCCAAATGACCAAATAGTCTCCAGTCTACGTGCTGACAACACAAAAGGGCTTGCCAGATTTAAGCAATTGCCAGTTTAAGCATTTCCACAGTCTGAAAGTGCACAAGGGTTCAATTTGAGAGCTGAACTTGCAGTCTCACGATTGATAATGCATGGTCAACAAATGCAACCTTCACCTTCACAGTTCAATCCAAGAATTTCGCCCCAATGGAGTGTTCGTACAAGAGGAACATTTTTTCGTACACACAGCATTGAATGGCACTCATACTGAGCAATCAGGTGGCCATCCATGTACTCCAATGTGCTTCTGCAGATGTGTGAGTTTCAACACTTCGTTTTTGTTGTGGCAGCAACGCGCTTCTTCTGTCCATTCCAGTTGAAACGGGAGCAGAAGCATGTGCACCGCTGGACAAACACCTGTGTTTGTGAGCATCACCGAACATCACTGCATGGGTGATAGGGCAGTGCTTTGCTGTACACTGATGAATGTAATCAGCAAGGTTTTGTGCTGACCTGAACTCAGCCATGATGGCATCTCGCTCCTTTTGGGGCATGTCGCCGTGCATGGACGACACAGTGAAGTTGTTCTGCCGCATTTTCTCCGTCAGCCAGTCAACCTTCCTTTTGGTGTTGCAAAAGATGACTGCCTGTGTGATTGTGAGGGTGTCGTATAGGTCACAGAGCGTGTCAAACTTCCATTCCTCCCTCTCCACAGCAACGAAGAACTGCTTGATGCCCTGCGTACATAGGAGGAAGCCGTTAAAGCTGACCAAGAAGAAGGAAGAGGCTCTTGTGGATGTGACTACAAACAGCATTATATTGGGACTAATTTCATTCGGATTGCATTAATCCTCAATTGGGACGTGGTACTAGTGGCATGGCACTCATAGTGCACTCATACTCCAGACTTTCCCCTTGTAGATTGTGTGGAATTGTCTTGTGACAAAGCTATTTTGTTTGGACTGCAAAGAGGACACTTGCCATGGTCCTGTGGTCCACACAAGCTTGAACCACAATATGCCGCTCACCTCCAAAGTGAGTTCATCACGCTTGACCAGGACCCTGATGGGGTCTGTCATAAACTTCTGTGACATCTCCAGCACCTCATGTGGCAAGGTTGCTGACACCAAGACCACCTGAGTCTCTGGAAGGTACCGATACACATCGTAGATCTGCTCCTTGAAGCCCTTGCTGAGCATCTCATCTGCCTCGTCCAGCACCATCGCTTTGATATGCCTTGTCCTCAGAGACCGCCTCTTGATCATGTCAAACACGCGGCCAGGTGTGCCAGACACGATGTGCACACCATGCTCCAGTTTGCGAATGTCCTCACCTGCAAGTTACAGCCACCACACATGACACAGCATTGATCCACAATGAAGTCCACAATTTTCACAAATATCGTTGTAGGCATAATGTGTTAACTGTACACCAAGACAGCTCCCAAGCAAGAATGCGCTTCAAAGTCTGGAAATCCAGTGGGATTGTGTGGGCATTGCTAAAGCTCAGTTTGGAAGTGCCCTCCAGAGCCTTGAGCCCCCAACGCATGAAGTGCCCGCATTAATTGATTGTCCCTTGTCCTTGATCGTCCCTGACTGACCCGGCAGGGCCAGATTTCCCAATGTCCATCATTGTGCAGCAGTGAGCCATCATAGGTACAGCCTTCACAAGTGCTGTGCTTTCTCTCACTGCAGATCCCAAACAGTCATCGATTTGCACAGAGAGCTACTTGTTGCATTAGATCTGTGGCCTTCCCCATGATGCAAGCCTTCCAGTGTTAGCTGCAACCTACCCAGACTCTTCCCTCCAACACAGGCATGGGCCTGCACATTCATGAAGTCACCTAACGCCAATATGATCTTCTCCGTCTGTCCAGCCAGTTCCCTGGTGGGCGACAGAATCAGGGACTGGATCCTGCATATACAAAAGCAACCCGGTCAGTTTTAGAAAGAATGGGTGGCAACCATGGGCAATAGGCATGAAGACACCTCAAGACTGACCTGGGCTCGCGTGTTTGGGTTTTTGTTGCTTCCCATGAATTGTGTGCTTCGACATGTGGATCAGATACACCATCCCAATGCCTTGCAAGTGGGTTTAGTTTGGACTTTGGTATGAATAAAGATCGCTTTCTGGACATTTGGTGAGCAGCCATGTGCTTAACATCGTCGTGCATCGGCAGTGCTGTTGCCAATTTTTGACAAATGTGTTCAACGAATTTCACCTGTGGGTCCCCCAGGGCACTCTTTATGCAGTCCGACAAATGCACTTCTTCCCCCCAGTGCTACTGGCCCGGCCGGCTTCCAGGCTTTATAGCCTGCCACACAGCCCAGACCACCCACCTCTCTCACCAGGGTTGTGCCAAAATTGGCAACCACTCCACCCGGGCTCCTCAAAACGATAGGACATACTTGAAGTCTACAGCACCTACATAACTTCCTTGATTACAAAACTCCGCCTGGGGGGTCACTCACTCTCGGAGGGATGTGTCCAGCAGCTGGCACAGAGTGAGGGCTATCAGGGACGTCTTCCCGGTGCCCGACTGCGCCTGGGCGATCACGTCCCGCCCCGATATGATCGGCACAATCGCCCGCTGCTGGATGGCCGACGGCTTCTCGAACCCGTAGGCGTAGATGCCGCGCATCAGCTCCTCCCGCAGGCCCATCGTCTCGAACGTTGTGTGCACCTTGACACCCTCGGTCGTCTCGAAGTTGAGGGGCTCACCGCCGCCGCCGCCGCCGGCACCTGCCGGCGCCCCGCCCCTGCGGCACAGCTATCTGTTGTGAACTCTGGTGTCGCAACGAGCAACCGCAGCGGCGTGCTTTTACGGACGCGCTGTGGTGTCACATTCCGGTGGGCGCGATAGGGCATGACCACGGGGGAGATGCCACAGGCTGTTGATGGCAGCCCTGTTTTGTTGGATTTTCTCAGGCTGCAGTTGAATTTCGATTCTGGGGTGGGCGGCCGCGGCGGGGGGCAGCTGCGCGCCAGTGTCTGGGGTGCCAAGGGGCGCCGGCAGTGGCGTCAAATGGAGTCGAACCTGCGGTTCGCGGCCATGGCGGACGTTGAGTGCTTGCTCGAGGACCTCGGAGAAGGACGTGCGGACGATCAGGAACGCGAAACCCGGAAGCCCCGCTTTCGTGACGGGCGACCAAGAGGGTTGGGTCGAAGTTGGGGTGGGTGGGGTGGGGTGGGTGGGCCAGGAGGGCGGCTGTTTGGGGGCGTTGGAAGGTCATTTACCGTTGGTGTTCGGTGCGGCGATGTACTGTGCTGTAACTAGAACTGACTGAGTACTACCAGCAGCCGGACGCCTAAAGAAGTAATGAGGCATTAGGAATTGCATTAAGGACATTGACGGACGGACTGGTGGGGGACAGAACTCCTGTTGTCCCTTTGCCCGGCTGTAAGCCATTGCCGTGGGCTCGAGCCTACGGTCCCCTTTCAGGGGTCGCCACCACTTGACCCTGCCTGCCTTCGTCAACTGCTCTGGGGAGGGAGCAACAGATGGGATGCCAAATTGGCCCAATTCAGGCACCTTCTGAAGTCCCCGTTGCCCCAACCGGACGTTGGCTGGTTCCCCGTTGCCCTGCAGCTGCAAAGGTGTCATGAGTGTGACAACATCTGCATGAGCTTGTGACAGGTTCTTGTCCGCAGTGTTTTATGAGTTTACGGTACGCTGCAGTGGCGAGAAAGACAGCTGTGGTTCACACAAGAGGCATTGTGGCTGTGCGTTGCTGCAGTTGAAAGGGGATGTTGCTGCATTTACGACCCCGTACAGATGTCTTGTGCCTTGCGCCCTTTGTAGCATCTGCCCTGGTACCCACATCTCCCCCAATGACCCAACTGCATAATCCACACGTGGCAACATTCGATGTGCGTCTTGCAGCAGGCTACGAGTTGGTTACTGTGCGTTGGGCAGCTGAAGTCTTGTGTAGTGCACGCCCAACGGGAATCCAGCCCGTCTTGGCGAGGTAAGCATTAACTACACCTGTCCTGTGTCTTCCACTTGCCAAGCTGTTCGACATGCACAGTCTAATCCAAAGACACTACTGCCACTGGACACACCATTGCGAGTTGGCGGCCAACCCAATTGCAATGTACCCCGTGCTGGGAAGGTGCTCTACTGATATGACCATGGAGAAGGTGGACTCACCCATGGCCAGGTGGCTGTGGTGTCACGAGTTTCCTGTGATGGAGGCCCTTCCAAGTGTCCTGCTTTTAATCTGCACTTTTTTGTACCCTGGCATGGCACAATAGCAGCACATGCAGCGCCTAATCCAGGCTCTAGCGTCCTCTCCTTCAGCACATTCTGCCAGCTGCGACACAAGAGCAATGGAAACATGTGGTCCCTTGCTGGCATAGCAAGCAGTCCATGCCTGGGAGTTGGAACTAGGCCTCAACGCACAGGCATCTCATGATTTGGGTTTGCTGATTGTCTGCTGTTGTTTCAGGGTACAGAAATGCACAGCAAGCACACTGCCCCAGAGACCATTTCCTTCACAATGAATCTTTCAATCCCTCATTCAGGCACCTGTGCTCAACTCGAGAGCTCTCAGCAAAGGGTACTGATGTTGCAGCACCTACAGTGCACAGACACCCTAAATCGCTCAAAACCATCACGAACCAGCTGCACTTTGTCACCCATGAAGTCACCCTATCAGAAGCAAGGGAAGCTCCACAACCAAATGCATTTGAGCGTTCGACCATACCCTGTCCAGCCCACCAAGAGCTCAACATCGCCCCGTCGCCACCTGCCCAACAGTCGCCCAAATATGTGCGCCACTATAGAAGCCCCACACGTGTGCCATGGGGTTTCAAGGTGGCAGTATCAAAACGAAATTCAACGTTTTGAGCCTACACGATGGGAGTACCTGGGCATTCCCTGCTGACATGCTGTCCTTCAGCTTGTCATTGCTCCCCACACTCTGTGCTCCACGCTATTCTGCACTCCCTCCACGGCAGCACACTCCAATTACCAAAGCTGCCTTGATCGGCAAGGCCTGGTCAGGGAAGCATTGTTGGTGTGTGCCAAGGTCACAACACCCTCACTTGGATGCTTCCTCGAAATTTTCCACCAAATCTGGCACATCTGTACGTGCAACACAGCAAAACCATTAATACCTGGCTGAGGTGGTCGTCTGTAACAATATATCACACGGTCTCCAGCTGGTGCCTGGAGACACAATTTTGCACACACTCATCAAGGACCCACAGCGAAAATACAGCAGCGGTTTCTAGGGTCCGCATGAATAACATCAGAAACATTGTTTCTGGAAACAGCCCAACAACAATCCTTTCGGATGGGCAGATGCACGTGGCAGCAGTGCACAGTGAAATGACTCTGTGGGATCCAGCAGACAACAACAGCAAAGAACAGTTGCATTGACGATCCTGCCATTTGTGCAAATCGCGTTGCTGTGCTCCCAATGTGGACGTGCTGGCCACCCACCATCGTCATCCTCCTCAACATTTTGTGCTGCCTGCATCTGCTGGCAAGCACCCCAACAGTCTCAGCAAGACAAAAGAGGCAAATGAAACTGCACAGCACTTCAAAATTTATCAGAACACATGGGCTTGTCAAATCAGCGCACAGCCATTTTTCACTATTGGATTGTCTGGCACGGATAGTGATTTTCAAGTGCGAAAGGGGGCATTGCCAAAATGCATGCAGATGTGTTGCCTAGATGCAACTATCAGAATGATCTGAAACCCAACTGGTAGCAAGATGGCAAACACAATGCGATAAGCAGAAGGCGATAAGATGAAGGCGTACCTGCATCTGGGCGGCCATCCGTTTCAGATTGGCCAAGCTGTCAGGTCCCATCTGGTTGATGATCCCAGGCAACAAGTCCGCCAGCTCTGACCACGGAAACAATCGCCAATCAGGCTTTTTCCCCCTCAAACAACGCACAACGAGCAGCAGGATGGGCACAGTCGCGCGGAATCAGCCGACTCACTCTTGTTCTGAGACGGACCGCTGACGACGTAAGTGTTGGCCGCGATGGAGGCTTGAACTGCAGACGAGCAAAGCACACGTGAGCCCCACGCCGCGACGCACACAGGAACAGCAAGGCAGACTTTCCGGCAGGCCCAGGTCGCCCAAGCGAAAGATCGCAATCGCCGCACGCACCCTTGGGGTTTGTGAAATGGACGACATTGTTCTCGAAGAAGAGGTTCACCTCCTCGATGCCCGGTATAGTGTTCACGCCCAGGCGCTTCAGCGTGTTCTGAAGCCTCTTGTCGTCCGTGGACGTCGTCTTGTGCGGCTTCTTGTACTTTCTACCAGACACCAAAAAGGGCACTCAGCCCGCGGGACCCCTCAGAGGCTGCCAATCAATCACCGGACGACCGCTGCCCCCGGGCCGCCCCGCACCTCCTCATTGTCCCCTTCCCGCCCATTCGGACGGCGCTCGCCATCTTCTCCAGCCTCTCCCTGTCCATGGCTGCAGCGGCAACGCGCAAGGAGAGGTCAGGGTCCGGCCATTAATCCCGTCCTGCCGCCAAAAGGAGGCATGCCCGGCCACTTTTCAGCGGATGCGATGGGCACCCTGGGGCAGAGGCCCCGTGGCTGAGCGGGCCCGCCTACCTTGGGGCGCGGCAGCGACGGAGGGGGTGCCGCCAGGAGGGGGCGCAGCGACCGCCGGCCTCGCGTGTGTAGCCGCCCGAGCACTTCAGCAGCTCCGAAAGGATGCGCGTGGGGCAGAAATGGAGCGTTCATGGACATGTACATTGCTGGTGGTGAATGGCAGTGGGGGCAGTTTCTTTTTTGTTTATCCGATTTTTTGTGCACGATTTTTTTGTGTCCTAATTGACATCTTTGTCCAAGTTAATTTTCAAAGGACCCGCTCGAAACGCCAAAAGGAACCTTAACTCGGAAACTTTGTCCAGCAGAACACCATGTTGGGTAAGAAAACTGCAAACTGGCCCCAATGCGGACATGCGACAATCAAAAACTTCGCCTTTGGACTGGATTTCCGCACAGTTATGAGCACTACAACTGCATGGCAGGCGCCATTTGCCGCAATGATGTAAGCCTCATTTACCGTCATGATGATAGCAGTGCGCCAGTTCACTCCAATGCACGATGCGATTGGCAGCTTGCCGCCTTGCCGCCTTGCCGTGTTGCTGCACCATGCACTTGGCGGTTATCTCTTGTTTACGCAAACCGAAGGAGCGTGTGCCCATCGGGTTCTGTGTGTTTAGTTATTTTCCATCAGATTGATGGAGGTTCAGCACTACAAGTGATTTTGTGTGCAGCAAGGCTTTTATTCCATGCAATCGGTAGCTTTGGCAGTCTTGGAGGGCAGAAATCTTCTGTATAGGCAAACGATGAGCGGTTGTGCCCACTGAGCTCTGTTACTTTGTTTTTTTCCATCGGATTAGAAGGAGATTGAGCACTTCAATTGATTCACATTCAGCTGGGATTCGATTCCATGCAATCGGCAGTTTTGGCAGGCTTGGGTTATGCAGAGCTGGTTACCTTTTGCGCCGCCCATGAACTGCGGACCAGACTGATGCAACCGCTCACAAAGTGGTGAATATCGGCCACTTTCATCTCGTCAAGCCCATCGAATCCGCGCTCGTCGCGAATACGGCCGTGGCGCTGTCAACTAAAAGGCCTTCATCGTTCACCATTGCGGCAGCGTCCGGCAAGTTTTGGCCCAGATAACCTCAATTCGGACAATGCCTGACGAGGCTGAAGTCAAAAAAGAGGGAAAAAAAAACACTGGTGGGGGTTTCTACAGCCATGATCATCATTAAGGAATCAAAGGGAGCAGGTAGCCATCGGCTCCCCAATTTTCCCAGGAAAGCCAGCGTCCATGACTTGTACGACGAGAATCCAAGTTGTTGCTGCAATTCACCCATCCACTGAGTTGCTAATAGCAACTTGCTATGCATTAGAAATCAGTAATTCATGAGATTCTAATATTGCAAAAGCTGTAGTCGACACTTTCCAAGCATAAGGTCTCATAAACTGTCATGAAGAGCAAGACAATCAGTGTTTAGCAACTCAATCTCCTCCAGCCGCCACAGTGTCGAGAAATTTAGTCAAACTCTGGCACACAAGGGGAACAGAAGGAAGCGGCTCTGCACTTAACACCTTTGGATTGAGTGCAACGTATGCTGCAAGTCCTGGGCAGGCGGACGGGAGGATCGTCGTTGCTCTCGCAGGCTGCGATTTGCAGCGGCTGTTCGGCTGCTTGCATGTGACTCGCGCGTGATGCGAAGCATGGCAGGTTGCGTTCGCTCTTGGCTCCTCTGCAACTTGCCACTGTGCCATGCTCAATACAGTTTGTCACAACCGGGCAGTGCTGAACAAGGCAGGCGCGCCAAAGCCTACCATATTCCTCAGTATTCGGCTGTGTAAACAGAGCCGGGTAGCCAAGGTCAAGCGAGCATTAAATTCTGCACTATTTGGTGATTGGCCAACTGGAGAGACCGACATACGCTGCAAACTGCGAGTTGAAGAATGTTGAAGATTGAGCGGGCTCGCACTCTGGCTTGTTCGCGACGCAAAACAATATCTACCGATTCACTCCACTCGAGCAAACTTCAGACTGTTTCGTGGCCAGATAAACATGCCCACATGAACAACCGCTTGAATCGCCTGCCGTTGATTTTGGGGCTTGTCTCAGATGTCGATACGCACAACGCAAAGCAGAAGCAATTCACCTTAGCCGACTGCCCTCCCACGCACTGCCACGTGGTGCCCAGCGACGGCATGAAATTACCCCCCCTTTCTCTTCATGAAGATCCCTTCTTGATTCGGACACCCTAAACCTAAACTACTGACCCACTGATCGGCGTTGGCCTTGTCGGCAAAAAAAGAAGGGATCTTCATGGAAGAGAAGGGGGGGCTCATATATTCCACCCAGCCGCCGCCCGACAACCTCTGAGATTCCCCCTCCCCTCAGCGCACTGCCCAACCGAAGCACCCACCTGCCAGCACCTACCCATCCGCTTCCCACGGGCCACCTCCCAGGTCCAAACACCGTTCTGAGTGGACTCCAACCTCTCATCCCCACCCCACCCCACCCCACCCCACCCCACCCCACCCCACCCCACCCCACCCCACCCCACCGCCCACGCCTCCCCGCTTCACCCTTCCCCCGCCCCTAGTCCCCCTCTTTCCACCCCCCCCCCCTTTCCAAGTGTCCAAGCGCCCAAGTGCCCGAGTCCCAAACCCTCCCTAGACCCCCCCTTCCCCTTCACCGCATTCATTGGATTCATCATGCTCGGCGCGATCGCCGGCGACGTCATCGGCTCTGTCTACGAGGCCCGGCCCATCAAGACCACGCGCTTCCCGCTCTTCCACGCCAACAGCTGCTTCACGGACGACACCGTGCTCACGGTCGCGGTGGCCAGGTCCGTCCTGACCGGCGAGGACTACGCATCGAATCTCCGCGCGTTCGGCCGCAGGTACCTGTACGCCGGTTACGGCCCCAGCTTCGCGCAGTGGCTTCTGGCGACGGATCCCAAGCCTTACGGCAGCTGGGGGAATGGATCGGCGATGAGGGTCAGCGCGGTGGGCATGGGGTTTGATAGTGAGGAGGCAGTGCTGAGGGAGGCGGCGGCGACGGCGGCGGTGACGCACGACCACCCGGAGGGCGTGAAGGGCGCGCAGGCGACAGCGTTGAGCGTGTTCCTGGCCCGGCGGGGCGCGTCCAAGGAGGAGATCCGGGGCGCCGTGGAGGCCAGGTTCGGGTACGACCTCGGCAGGAGGCTGGACGACATTCGGCCGGGTGCGTGGGGGCAAGTGAGCGCACAGGGTGTTTTTTTTTTCGTCATCTTTTTTGTCATCGTTTAAGGCCATCTTTTTTGTCATCGTTTCCGGTCAACTTTTTTGTCATCTCGTTTAGATTCCAAAACGTCACAGCACGTTGCAGCGTCCCCCGCGTCCTGTCACAAGACATGTGGGCCTTTGGCCACCCGGCCAGGGAGTGCAAGGCGATGCAATTTTCTCTTGTCGTCTTTGTGTTTTTGTCATCGCGGCGGGTTTTGTCTTCTTTACTTTGGGTAGTTCTTGGTGGCGGCTGTCTGTGCTGCGCGGTTTAGTTTGGTTTGCTACCAACAATCGGCGTGCGCGGGGTGTCAACGCCAGCGAGTGTTGCGCGTCCCTTTGGGCTGTTGGATGTCCAAAACAGGTCCCCGACATCGAACCTTAATCCCCCCGAATGGGCCGGTGATATCCACGCGAACTTTGTGTGCGCCCTTACAGAATTGTGACGGAGTTGTAGTCGGGAACTGTGTGCCAGGGATCAGAGCCATCGCCCTGTCTGTCGCTGCATGAAGCCCCATTTGCATGAATCGAACTGTCAGTCTGAAAACGCTCCCGGATGATCACAGTCACACAAATCTTATAATCCCCTCTGGTTTGCTTGATTTGAGACTGTCTGACGGCAGTGCTTCAAGCGTTTGCTCAGCGTCGAGACTGGCGGCAACGTGCCCACTAAGGGGAGAAAGCTTCTAACAGAAAAATGACGTTGCGTCGCCACAGATTACAGATTTCACGTGTCGTGCATGGAGTCCGTCCCCGAGTCCATAATCGCGTTTCTGGAGTCCGCCTGCTACGAGGACGCTGTTCGCAAAGCCGTGTCTCTGGGGGGCGACGCTGACACGATGGGGTGCATCGCCGGCGGCATAGCAGAGGCGTATTATGGGGGCGTGCCAAAGGACATAGAGGACAACGTAAGAAGGAGGCTGCCGCAGGAGTTTCTGGAGCTCTTGGACGAGATGTACGCAAAGTTTGGGAACTGCGAAACGTTGAGGGAGGGAGGCGGTGACAACGGTGGCGAGGTTGCCGAAAATGCAGGCGTTAAAAAAGATGGAGGGTGTGACAAGGTTGGAGACGTTGACGACGCTGGAGGTGTTGAAAAAAAGGGCAGCGCTGAAGATGTTGGGGCCAATTGAATGTGCCGAAGGGGCTTGCTGTTGAACGCTGTTCATCTCAGGCGATCGGGCGTGCTTTAAATTTCATTGTATAGGGGAGAACGGGGTAAACGGTTGCAGTGTGTGTGACGTGAATTTAGGCATTGTGTGCTTAGAGGCTGCGAAGTGGCCATGTTAGGTTCTGTATCAGGAGTCTCCAGCCGCTTGTGTAAGGGCTTTGGTTGTAAAGTCCTTTCGGCAAATGCGCTCCATGGAATTTCCGAATGAAAAGCCTGATAGCGGGGTGAAAGTCACACGATTTTGGTCCTGTTTCGATTCATTTTGGATTATCGATACACGATGGTAAATCGCGTTGTATCGCTTAAACACAGACAGCATCGTTCCCGTTGAAATGGGCAACTCTATGCTCGAACGGCCCTGTTTGAAAACGCGCCACAATGGACACCCCCATTATATGGGGTGTCGCAGGATTCGGAAAGCACATACGCCGAATCCTTCCAAAGACATCTGGCAAAAGTTCTGTGTATCATACTGCGAAATATATCGTCAGTACTTCCATGATTGTATCGATATTCATTCGAGATGGGACGTCTGTACATTCCATGATGCTGCCCCTGCCGCAAGAGAATATGCCACAACCGTTCAATATTTTCTTCAGCTTTCCAGTGAGGGGACATGCACAAACTTGCTGCACAATGGCGCTTGCTGGATCATGCGATCCATCTCCTTCGAGGTGCAGGGGCCTGTTCGTCCTGTGAAGGCAAATGCCGATGGACGGATTTCGAGCACATAAGCGCCCCGTCCGGATCGTTGTCCTTTGGAGCTCAGTGTTGATAAAAGAGCAAAAAGGACAAGAAAACGCGTGATAGACAACAAAAACGCCTGATGCGTTTGGCAGCGAAAAAGAAGGCACCCAAGTAGTCGCTCTGTTTCTTCCGTAGAGATCCCTTCTTGTTTCGGACACCCTATACCCTAAACCACTGACCCACTGACCGGCGTTGGCCTTGTCAGCTGAAGCAGCAGGATCTTCAGAGAGGAACTAATATACACTCGAAAAGGAATGCCCCAATCGACATCGATCAGGATGCCACCTATTGGCTGGCGATCCAGCCCCTCCGAACCCCGAGCAAATGTCCAACAGCGGCGATGGACCCTGCAGGCGCGCTGGCGCGCAACGGGCCGGGCTGCGTCTGCCAGCGCAAGGAATGGGCCCCGCGGCCAGCGGGCGAATGGAGGGCCGCGCCGTGGAGGCCCGCGGCGACTGGACCTCGTATTCCTCTTAAGCGGGGGAGTAAGGTGCATTGGATGCGGCACAAATCGCTCGATCGCTCATTCAGCAAAGAAGCGCGGGCTGCCCCGGGCGCGCGGGCGTGGAGCCCGCGCTGCAGAGCGCAGGAGCGAGGCGCTTGGGCTTTGGTGCTGCTGATCATCCCCGGGTCAATGTGCTGTTGAATCGACCCCTGGGGGCTCGCCAGTTTGCTTGCGATTGCAAACTGCCGCCTTGGTGCTTTCTAGGCGTCGGAGGAGCAGTCTGCGGCAGCGAGTGCGGCTGTGGCGGATCGGCTGGCCGGAACGGCAGAGCCGCCTGTGGAGGATGAGTTCTATGACGCGATCATTATTGGGGCTGGAATGGGCGGATTGTCCACAGCCACACAGCTGGCGTCTGAAGGGGCCAAAGTCCTTGTTCTTGAAAAGTGAGCAGTTGGCTTTGCACCTGCGGTAGCAGTCACACAATCCGCTCGATGCCGAGTGCATTTTGTGTTGTTTCCCCAGCTGGCAATTTGGATTGAAGTCCATTTCTCTGTCACATCTGCATATTGCATCCACCGAGCCATCAGCGCAACAAGTTGGCCGGCGTCCACCGTGGCCATAGGGGCCTCCCATCGAATTCGCACAGCTGACAGTTCCTGATGTGCTGGCCGCTGGCAGTTGCCTGCTTTTAGAGGTGCATCGTCTGCTGTGCTACAGCAGAAGGGCTGGCAGTAGGTTCTGTTTCCCAGCTGTCAATTGCGGACGTATCTGAAGCTGCTCACCCTCTCAGCATGTGTCACATATGCTGGCAGCAATATGACAGGCATGCTTCCAGACACGGAGGCCATCACTGCACAGCCGACAGTAATGCCGGTATCCGGGGTCTGGCTTAAAACATTTGACAACTTCAGGGAAAGATTGTAGCCAAACAATTATGTGCTGCTTGCGATACACCTCAAATTGTGGGTTGTGCAACATTGGGCTCCTTTGGAGGATCCATTAAGTTCTTTGTGTCTGTGAAGTCCTTGTTGTGCAATTGCATCCCACAGTGTGTAATGTCAGGCTGTGTTGCCCTTGTCTCTGTTCAGGTACATCATTCCTGGTGGCAGCGCAGGCTTCTTCGAGCGGGAAGGCTACACTTTTGACGTTGGCTCTAGCATGATGTTTGGATTTGGAAAGGAGGGAACCACAAACCTCATAACTCGTGCCTTGGCAGCTGTTGGCCGGGAGATGGAAACTGTCCCTGACCCCACCCAGATCCACTACCACCTTCCCAAAACTCAAGCTCATCCCAAGGTGGGTGATGATTGCATTTTCGGCCGACAGGAAAACAAGCCATGCTATGGGTACCCCCCTGGTGAGCAAGATTTTTTGTGTTTGCCACACTGCATGAGGCGATGCAGAAGGTGCATGTGCCTGAAGTGTGCCTGAAATGTGGTGAAGAAACGGGGTCCTGTTTGGTGACTTGCAAGGGATGCTGGCTGCGACATGTGTGGTGACGTTGTCCTCGAAAAGTGGCCCAGTTGTAGTGCATCTCCGAGCACTGCAGCAGTCCTGACTTTGGTTCAGCAGCAGGGCTCTATTGTGGGAGTATGCTGTATATGAGTCTCAGGCACTGTGCCCCCATCGCCAATAGAGGTAGCTCACGGTGACATGGGAATGCGCAGTGTTCAGCATGGAACTCTCTAGAGGGTACAGGTGTTTCATTCCAGCAGGTCAACAGCATAGCCTTTTGCAATCGTGTATGTCTTTCACATCTGGTTGCTTCATGGGGAGCCCGCAGTAAGCTGTTGCTGAGAAGGGGTGCCAGAATCTAATCAGGAACATATTTGTAACAGTAAAATGTCTCAATGCGATGTGTGACTTCACTACAATGTTCCTCCATGCCAGTGCCTGAAGGAATGCCAAACTCATCAAGAAATGAGAGTGAACTCAGGTGTTGGGTAAACGACACCTGATTGCTTCTGTACCCTTACAACTTCGGGATTTATTCAGTCATCGACTTGCTTTGTGACTGCCAAGAGTGCAAGAGTCTGCCAGTCTGTTTATGGAGTTCTTTGTGCCATTGTCTAGGGCCTGTCCGTTCATGTTTGGAGGGACTATGAGCAGTTCGTTGCAGAGCTGACAGACCAGTTTCCTCATGAAGCAGAGGGCATTCGCAAGTTCTACGATGAGTGTTGGGTAGTTTTCAATTCTCTGAACACGCTTGAGCTGAAGAGCCTTGAAGAACCCCGTTACCTCCTGGGCGAGTTTGTGAAGCACCCGATCGAGTGCCTGCAGCTGGCTTTCAGGGTGCTCGCCAACACGGGGGACGTGGCACAGCAGTTTATTAAGGTTGGTATCGGGTTATTTGTTCATTTTTGTTCTGAGTTTTCAGTTTGCTTCATTTCGTTTTGTTTATTTATTTTGTTCCTGATTCTTAGTTTTTGCATGCATGTGTCTTGCAAAATGGACACACTGTTGCCTGTTTACCGCACAGCAGGGGTTTTCTCATTGGGTGTATTTTTTGGACGTCTGTTTGCTTGGACGCGATTGGCAACTGACATGGAAGTCTGAGTATTGCCTGTTGCGATGCTGCAATAGGATGAGGAGTTACTCAAGTTCATCGACATGGAGTGCTTCTGTTGGAGCACTGTGCCAGCCAGCTTCACACCTTTGATCAACGCTGGCATGGTGTTCTGTGACAGACACTTTGGTGGGATAAACTACCCAGTGGGGGGAGTGGGCAAGATTGCACAGGAGCTGGCTGCTGGCCTTGAAAACTATGGTGGGCGGATAATGTACAAGGCCAATGTGAAGGAGATAATCACTGAGGGTTCTGGAGAGGACATGGTTGCGGTTGGTGTTAGGCTGGTGGATGGCCGGGAGCTCAGGTGTGGCAGTTCTTTTCCACTTTCGCGTCAGAGTGTGGTTGCATGGTTATCTTTGTCGTCTTGTTTGTTACTGCAGCTTGTTGTTCATTAAATACGCGCCTGTCCATCCCTAACCAAAATCTGTGGAACCAATGGTGACATTCACCTTGTTCATCTCATTTTCAGCATGATGCCATCATGGCAGTCTGGGGAATGTATTGAAGCTTTGCCTTCAGGGGCACTGAGCTGTCAGCATAGTGCATCCTAATTGACACTTGGGGCGAGCGACCAGCTGTAGCCTTTTGGTTTGCAAGGGAGCAGTCTGCTCAAGCTGACAATTGGCCATTCTTGGCCACCAGCTTGAAGACATTGATCAGTACTCTGTGTTGATTATGTATGCCATTGATAGGGCATGCTGGTCCAGATGATGGTAGCAAGGCTTGTACCCAGCTTACACTGCTCAAGTGTTGAACTCGATTTCACTCAAATGTGCCAATAGTTCATTGCATGTGGAAAATAGACATGACACAATGCCAGTATATTGTTGTTGCCTCTGGGACTCTTCATCCCAAGCTGGGCAATGTGTAGTATTGCCTAAAACAGTAACCAGATTTGTAGTTCCATGGCCATGCATTTTTAATGCCATTTTGTCCACGGTTAGGCAGTCCCTGAATAGCTATGATATGTGGATTGCAGAGAAGCAGCGGTTGTTGAAAGATCATTAATCAGCATATGCAAATGGTGATTTTTTTGCGTGTACTGTGCAGATAAGTGCTCGCAATTGACAGAAAATACTGACAGCCTGAAGTAGTCGTTTGAGAGCTCACATTGTAACCATGCGCTGGGTGCGGTACGGTGTTCAGGGCAATTTTTTTGTTGGGATCATCTCTGGCATTGACAATGTGGTGAACATTCCTCTCATATCCAGGGCAAAGACTGTTGTCTCAAACGCGACTCGATGGGACACCTTTGAGAACATGCTTGGGAAGGTGCCTATGCCAAAGGCAGAGGTGAAGTTTCGGCAACGGTACAAGAAGTCTCCTTCTTTCTTCAGCATACACATGGGAGTCCAGGAGGATATTCTTCCTCCCTCAACAGATTGTCACCACATTGTTTTGGAGGATTGGACAAAGATGGAGGAACCTCGAGGCACCCTCTTTGTCTCCATCCCATCGCTTTTGGACCCGACAGTGGCGCCCAAGGGATGCCACCTTGTGCATGCCTTCACCCCTGACTGGATGGATGCGTGGAAGGTGGATTGCATTTTCTTTATGGATAGGGCATATTTTTTTTGTTTTCCAGAATATGGCAGCACAACCAAGACCAAAGCTGCCAAACCCTGTGGTGTTGTTGATGTGTGATTGTTGCATGTGGTGTCTTCAACCATTTCCTGTTCTGTTCCAGTTTGTCTTAGTTTCACTCTCTCGAACGATTTTATGTGCTTTGAGTCATCGCTGCTGTTTCCTTTCCTTTATTCCAGTCCCTTGCAACACAATTAAGGGCCCTGTTGCCATCTTAGGCCTAACAGAAAAGATCTGAGGCTTGCTCACATTGCGAAATGCACAGGGTGGCCAAAGGCAGTTTTATAAACATTCACAATCGTGTGTAAACAAACAACTGTGCATGAGTAAGGGCATGAGCTCAAGGAAGTGAGAAGGAGAGAAGAATTGACAAGTCATTCCCCTTGCGTTTTCGATTCTGTGATGGGCATTTCATGCCTCGTTCTTCCATTGTCAAGTAATGCAACAAGGGTAGGCAGTGCACATCAGCGGTGGCTAATTATGATGCCAGACAGTGCAAGATATTGCAGTTCAGCTCAGATTGATGCATTTCATTGGGCTAGGTTGCAACCTTCAGTGTTCCTGTGGAATTGTTGCCCCCAAAGGCCTCACTGGACGTTCTTTGGGGCCGAATCTGTTCATGTCAGCAAATCTTTTATTTAGCATTGGCCCAGAACTGATGAAACTGACCTGGAAGTTGCCTGTTTGCAGGGTCTGCCCCCAGGGGAATATGAGGAGAAGAAAGAAGAGGTTGCTGATTCCATCATTCAGCGGTTAGAGGCAATATTCCCAGGGCTTGGAGAAGCTACGGTCTACAGGTAGCTTTTTCAGAGCACAAGTGAGAAGTGCTCATAATTCAGTTTCTCTGATGGTTTCCCCTTGATTCAACGTGCTTTAATGTCCTCAAGGGCAGCAAACTCAAAGCGCTCTCCAGAATTGCTACAGCAGTTAGCTCAACCAACCACCCCATGCACGTGCAGGCCCTTCTCATACAGGAGTCTTGCCAAGAGTATACAAAAACAGCACCTTGATGTTCATATGCTGCGTAATTCCATGCTGTGTCTATGAACTGAACCCTCCCCGCTGCTGTCCTGCTTCTATGCAACAACATGTGATACCCCCACTTCATGTTTCACTGTTGATGACAGGCAACATTATGTGGTGAATCAATGTCAATCTATTAGGCGATGCCTGGCTATGTTTGCAATCACAGATTGGCCTCAGCTGTGGACCAAAGTGCTGCTGCTGCAGGGCCACAGAACATGACCTCCAATGAGAATTGGCCGCATTGGAAAACACCGTCCATTTACCAAGGCTTTGTACTTCCAATAAGATAATTGTGTGATAGTAATAGTGTCTCACCGTGCGCCAGTCTTCATAGAATTGTCAATGGCCTGCACGCCATGGACCTGCATCAACACCCTGATTTGCTGGAACATTTCTGTCATTTCATCACTGTTGTGCTGTCGCTTTAGGGAGTGTGGCACACCAAGGACCCACCGAAGATTTTTGAATCGTGAGGATGGGAGCTATGGGCCCATCCCCTCACGACGCCCTCTTGGGATGATGGGTATCCCTTTCAATCGAACCGCCATCAAGGGATTGTATTGTGTCGGAGACAGCACATTCCCTGGGCAGGTAGGGGCCACGTTGATATTCTGAGTTCGAAATGTTGCATCACACTCATGAGTGCAGTGCCAAACCTCACGCAAGGAGAAGGCAGAAAAGGTGTTTTGCCACTTCTTGAGGAAAGGATTTGGCACAAAATGGAATGCACAGGAGCTTGAAATCGGAGTAATCAATGGAGCACCAGCCAAGCATGTCTTTCATACAGTATGGGTAGAGTGGGTAGAGTGTCGCTATAAAGTGCTTTGCAGGATATCTGTATCTGGAAAATGCCCCCAAGGTCCCAAAGTGTTCTGCCGTGATGTCCAGGGACATTGTGTTCGAACTGTCATGTGTTCATGGCACTGTTCATGTCACTGTATGACATTGGATTGGCTGTGCCTTACGTGCTTTTGAGCCGCTCGCATCATCTAGTGTTCCCACCACATTATTCAAAGCCCCCCCCGCATTAAGCAGCGAATAGGATGATCGATAACGCTGGAGGACGTTATCCCCAGCCTTATCTAGAGTATCCGCATTATCCCCGTGCTCTACGCTATTATGTGAAAATCTGCTCCACAATTTGAGCGTCGGCTATGGCATGGCAATTACTACAGTAATAATAGGAGGCAAATTGCCATCACATCAACAGTGCATGCTGACCACCAGACACAGTGATGTAGCTGACATTGCTTAACCTGCAACAAAGACAGGTTAAGCAGGTTAAGCAAACCTGTAACAAAGACAGCGCAGGTAAGGTTTCCTACGCTGGCTGCTTCCTGGACGCCACAGGTGTGTTTAGCTCAATGTCAGTGCTCGTGTGCCCGTGCAGCCCATGCTGTGATTAATATCCCCTGGATTTTCCCCACAACTTTTTAAACCTGTGACGATCAGACTTTGACGTGACCTGTATCCCATGCGTGTCACAGAGCTCCCTGTGCTGCGGCCGTCTATACTATACGAGACGTGCAGCCATAATAGAATTCGATCAGTAGCAGTTGTGTGCTGCCATGGATTAGCCTTCTCTTGTGCTGCAGGGAGTAAATGCGGTTGTCTTCTCTGGATTTGGGTGCGCTCATCGAGTGCTGTGCGATATTGGCGTGAAACCCACCTTCCCTTCCCTGGATGATGCGTTCTCCAAATTTTTGTCGCTCATCCGTGACAACGCCTGATGGGCCATTTTGGTGAGGAATTTTGGTGTCAGAGAACTCTCAGTTGTAGCCCTTGTGTCTCCATGTCGAACTGTGGCGGCCGTCCCACCAGGCATATGATATACGACAACAGCATTTTCGTGCTCAAGGCGACTGCCCTGATTGCAGATAACTGCCGCTGACTGGACAGATAATTGTTCAGTGATGCGGGCGTGGCCAACAAGACCGACCTCTGAACGGCCCCCTGGGCTGCGCCTCTCCATTGTGCGCCTGTTTGCACTGCATTCTCCCGCATTCACATTCCCGCATCTAACGATTTCCGAAGCTCGGATTGACGCCAGCTGTCGTGCTTCACTACCATCAACAACAAACGCGCCGAGCATGGACCAGCTGACAGGGAGGCGGCTCACCAAGGCTTGGCGACCAAGCCGCCATCACGTGGTGCACGTTGGACACGGTGTTTTGCGAGAATTCGCGATGGCATGGCCGGCGCACATGCATCTGCCTGCTGGCGCCTGTGGACTGAAAAGATGCCATTCCCTGGTAGGCGTGAATATACCCAGAGCCAGCTTTATGTCCAGAAAATCATTCCAAGAACAACAGTGACCACTGAAGTGCGGCCACTGAAAATAGCCAACAGACGATTTTCCACTCATGTGGGCATAGTCAACCTCGGAACGGCGCCTGTGAGCCATCCAGTAACACCGCCATGGACAACGAACAGCCTGACATGTAGTAGCTGAAGGCCAGGTAGCTGCCATTCGCTGGTAACAATTGGCACCAGGGCAACACCATGACAACGCGACGTGGTCGCATTTAACTAAAGCGAGTTGAACACATTTCTACTTTCAATCACATTTGTGTGGCGCCATTTGCCACAGTTTGAGAAAAGTTGGAAACTGTGCAAGTGGACAGCATTCTTCATCGAAAGAGCGATATGTCAGCGCACGTTGGGTGCGTTGTTGCGAGACTAAATGATGGCTGCAATTTAGCGGTCTCATCTGCCTGCGCGTGTAGATTGAAAATGTGCAATAGCAAAGGCTTGAATGTGCTTGCTGACAACTTTTCAGCATGAAATCATTTGTATAGCCAAGATTAATACATACGCGCCGCTACTGAACCTATACTGGATATAAGCACGCTCAAATGCGAGTCATGAACACATCAATGACGACAAATAGCGTTCCTAATTTCTTTCCAACATTTTGGCATCCGGAATGTTTACCGCAACTATTTACACTGTCTGCCTAACCCCAGACTCCCCCAATTCTGGCTTCCAGACCAACGCTTCAAGCAAAATCACCACTATGGGTCTAATTCCAACAACTCTCATGGGAACACCCCATGGCTCCCACCTGTTTATCCATACCTCTGCCTCTCTTGAAGCCCCCTGCGTGTAAATAGCCGCCCATGTGGCTACCTTACCCAAGTGCCGGTAAATTTACCTAAAAAGACGTTCTCTCACTTCCACTAGTTGCTTGTGCTCATGCCTCGTCCACACCAATGTGTTGCACTAAATTGCTCTGTAACAGATGCGGACACGCCGTGGCCATTATCGGAATTGCTATAATTTGTGCATTCTAGGTGCGCTATTTTGTGCACAAGTGGAAGTTGAGTTGATACGGGGGGCGCCCATTTCTGAAGTTCGATGGACGCCTCAGGCGTGAGTTCCCATGCGCTGGCACCTCCGCACGGCGGACCACATGGCTCCTGCAAACACAGTGGTAGTTCGACACCAACAATCAGACCAGAGTGAAGTTCCAAACAAAGCCATTGAATGTGTTTCTAATGGGCCACTGCAATTTCTCGTTCGCTTAGAAGGATGTAAAGACAGGTGCTTATGTGCTCCAAGCAGTGCATTCCAGCGACAAGCCGCTATAGATACCCAGACGAGCATGTGACTTCAAACTTTGTATTGACGCACTTCATGTGCGGAACTTTACCACCGCCGAGCTCCACAGGTATTTGTGGCCAATTCCTGAAATTTGCAGTTTGACACTAATAACGCTCTTATACTTTTATTCTATGTGGTGACTGATGCACTAAAGAGTGGCTGGTCAGCCCGAATGAAATGCTATTTTTTAACTAATCAACTGAAGATCCGTCTGGTGCAGTGTTACAAAGCAGAAACTGTAACAAATGTTCCCAAAGTGCAGGTTTGGGGTCGCTACAATGTTCAGGAGTTGGAGGCACCTCTGGTGAGGATAAATCCAAGCGGGGTGTGAACATCCACTGAGCGGGACATCTGCAAACCAGAATTGTGCATGTGGCCATGTCGGCCAGCCCGAACAATCGGATAATGTGGAATCCACCTTAAGTGCGAGGCACACACACATTCTCCACACATTACCAAATGTACATCGGCAATTTTCATGGCGTTCCTTGCGCGCTGATTCGCGACAGAAAATCCTGCGGCTCACTGCCTTCAAAATGACCAGCCAGTTGATCGATTAACGGGTCAACGAGCCCAGCTTTGATTGGTTAATCAACCCAATGCTAAATTTGGTTGCTTAATTTGGGCGTCTCTTGCCACGGGCGTTCCATGCTGCACGTCGTCATCACTAATCGAAGCGCCGGCGGGAGCAATTGGCAGGACAGCGCACCCTCAAGAGCGACGCCCCTCTTCTGCGGACACTGTCCATGGAAAGCCCGTCGACTTTGCGCGCCGCTCTTTCTGCCCTCCGTGCCTTCAGGTTCCTCAACGTGTTCCTGAACCGCCATTTGGCTACAAACATGGACGTCGCCAAAGCCGCGGATATGTTCACCACGCCGCCCACGTTATGCTTGGAAAGGGACCTATCTATCAGCGCCTCCAATTCGCGCCTTGCATGTCCGTGCGGCAGCGGCACTTCCGAGCACTTCTTCACCAGCTCAAACAAGGTATGGAAAAACGGCAAGCGCCCACGCACCATCGGGACGTTCAGCGCATTCATTTCCGTGACAATCTCTCGTTGGGTGGCCGGCCTCCCAATCCCCATGGGCGCCGGCAGACGGACGAGCAGCGCCTTGAAATCCTTGATGGAAATCGTGTTGCTGCCGTCGTCAAAGCCATGCCACAGATCCACAAAATCGTCCAAGATGGAGGGGTTCAAATGCCACGAGTCCTGGTCCTGTTGGTCCTCGAAGTTGTCCCTTATGACCGCCGTGAACAGGTTGAACATGATCATGGACACCACGACGACGAAACTGCGGCGCGAGCAAAGCCACCATGAGCGAGATTCTTGTCCACCTCTGCAATGTCTGAACTGCTGTGTTTCGTTCAACAGGTGTCTGATGCGAACTCTCGCGCGAGGTGTAGCCGTCCATGACGTTGGAAGTGATTTTGCTCATGAGGGGGATGAAGACAAAAGGGCGCCACTGATAGGTCGGATTCTGGCATACTTCCGATCAAACTGGCCATGTCGAATTTCTGTGCTGGTAATTGGGTCATGGGGCTCACGAACCAGCAAATGTGATAATGTTCTGAAACAGGCATTATATTGCGACCAGATATTCTGATTGTGCTGCTTTCTAAATCGTGAAAATGCTTTTGGGTGCCATCACTTGCGCTAAAATTCGTTCATCATTGCTTCAGCAATAAATCCGACCAAGGGCTGCACATTCGGCCTGCTCATAGAGGATTTGGGCAATAGGTACAGCGTGTCACGTGCTCCATTTCGAAACTCCCACTTTCCCTTGTACGTAATATCTTAACTTCCGCCTAAATAGAACATTGCAATAGCAAGAACGTTTGAATCGAGGCTTGCTTTTGGTGGAAGAGTGGTGGAGCCTAACCTCATGAAATAAGGGGCAGCGATGGGCGTCCCGCAGTCTCCCTTCCCTTTATCGCAGTCGGGAGGCTGCACCATGCAGTCTTCCATGAGGCCCCTCCACTGGTCGTTTGTGGCCACCCTGAAGAGGGTGATCATTGCGGTAGAGAATTTCTCGAAGTTGGCGTTTTCGTTCAGATTCACCCCGCGCCTCACGGACCCAAACAGCAAAACGCCGGTATAGGCGTAGATGAAGAACGCAAGAACGAGCAGGAGGCCCACATTCCAGAAGGCAGGCAGGGACATGATGAGGGTCTCCAGCAGTGACCGCACTCCGTCGAATCCCTTCATTAGTTTAAACATGCGGGAGATGCGCATGAGCCGGAGCACCTTCTGTATCCGCAGAAGTCTCAGGGTGCTGGCGAATCCCATGGACAGGTACGCGAACGCGATGTCCATCGCAGAGGTGACAACCAGGAGGAAGTCGAACTTGTTCCAGCCCGACTTTATGTAGCTCTTCCACCCAAAGCCCACAATCTTTATGGCCGCCTCAAGGCCGAAGATGATGCTGAACGCCAAGTTCACTGCCTCTGTTGCCCTCCTGTACTCCGCGGACTCGCCGTGAAAGGTGGAGGCCATGGCCACGAGGTTTAACGTGATCACCACTGATAGAGCCACTTCAAACTCCCTTGTAATGGCGACAGCGTGGCACAGCCGCCGCCATGGGTTCCTTGGCGGCGGAATCTTTTGCCTTGGTTTCAATCGGAATACCATTTTGGCGAGCTCAACCCATTCCTGCACAGCACGAGGGACGTTGTTGAGATGACACTCCGGGATATTTTCGTACACGAATGTAGGATCTGGATCGCGCACAGCAAATGCACCCAGTGCGTTGCCCCCTCAATTGAAAGCTGGCGTTCCAGCAGCCCCATGCCATTCTTCGAGGCCAACGTGCGCCGTTGCATCATGCGATTCAATGGACGGGAAGCTCTCAGCCTGTCGGCTGTGTCCAGCACACCGCATTCCAACAATTGGAGTATAGCATTGGCGACGGCAGGCTGGAGCTGACTTGAATTGTCTTCGCCCAGGCTGCCCGATCACAAGAAAAATGAGCAGTTCTGCAGACATGGGCAGACTCGCCATTGTGTCGCAACCTCCTTGGATGCGCCTCTCAATGCAATCATGTTCCTTGATTGCTGCTGACCGGCTCTGTGATACGTTTTGTTGTTTTTCGCCACCGTTTGCAGGTGGTTAGAATGTCTGAAATGCGATGACATTAACCACTGGGGCCAAGCGCGCCATTTCGCCTTTCGGCGGACGTGCGCCCCGTAAAATTTCGTTTGCGGCTCTTTGGCAGAGCTGCTCATTGTAGCAAACAGACAATGGGTACGGCGAGAAGAAGAGGCGTTAGCGTCAATGCACCCACATTTTAGGCATATTGAAACTAATGCGCCTACAAAAACTCTCCAACGCACAGTCTAACGTATCTAATTGGGAAGGGACAACTTTGCAATACGCTTCCACAGTCAAGACCCGTGACGGACCTCAGTACAGAACATGCTGTTTCCGCTGACTTGCAATGCACTCCATCCTGTCGGCTCTTAAGGCTTAGAGGCTCAAGAAACCTTCGTTCAAATAGTATGTCGATGGGCGTCAGGCGTCAGGAGCAGTATCCAAGGGCTCACCTGTTGATCCTCGCGGTAGAAGGCCGTCCCCGACTGACTCATCAGCTTAAGTTTAGAAAAATTGTAGAATATGACACCGATGTATAGATTCAGCAGCCCCACCGCGCATATCATTATGAAACTCAGGAAGTAGAAGAAACCCCAGGGATTGGATTGCGCCTTGGGCTGCTGGTCCTTCTCTCTGGCCGCCATGGCATCCATCATTATTCCGTGGTAGCCATCCAGCGTGGATGTGACGAACAAGACCATGAGCGCGTTTCCCACATGGTCGAAGTTGAAGCGCGCGTTTGACCACACACGCTCGGAGGTGGTTCCCGTTTCTGGATCGGTGTACAAGCCGGAGCATTGGTCCCTGGTCTCAACAGCGTCGTCATTGCACCTGAGGCCGCGGAAATATGCGAGCGAAGTCAGGTTTGCAAGGAGCTGTGCAGGAGGTTTTCGGAAAGGAGGCTGGATAGTTTGCAAATCGCGCGAACAGCCTGTTGGCAATGCAATTCCAAGGACGTGTGCGTGATCCGGTGAGGAAGCGACTCGCAGACGAGAGGCCACGAAGGCGACACGACGCGGCTTAAAGCAGATTCAACAGATCGAAAGAATTTTGGCTGAAAACACCAATCTTTCATGGGAAGATAACATTTCATTTGCATTCGCACGACAGCTAGTATTGGTTTCAACGGGGTTCGTCGTTCTACCTGATAACGTGGCTATGATTTATGTGTGATGAAGTATGGGAGAATTGGGGAGGGGAGAGTTCGCGATAGGGGTACGGTCTATTGCAATTGTAGCGAAGCATGCGATTGCAAATTTCATGGCGATGAAATTGAAATTTGTGAGGAACATGCGAACCCCAAATGTCTCGTTCCTGTCCTTACCAATCAAAACATTTTGCTGCACTGCATGAAATCTCTGACCTGCGAAATGACTCTGCGGCATAGCATGCTATCGGTTGCGCAACCAATGCAGGTGAATCAGAATCGCTAGGGCTTTTTTTTGAAATCTGTTGCAATTACATTTGCCAAAATCATGGCAAAGCAAACCCTGTCACCAAACTGGCAATGTCGGGCAGAATCGTTAGGATGTAATCTCGGAGATTTGCGAGGTCAGCCCCAGCATCTTATTTACCAACTGGCGGTTGAATTCATGACTCAGAAATAGCACGCGCGGGTGCACATCAAACCCGCTGTCGTGCAAATGCTGGCAATGGCACATAAGCAGCTGCAGCCATGACAGCGCAGCTTGAAATTTCAAGATGCTGCACAATTGCCGACTGCAAGTGGAAATCTCTTTTGAAATCACTGTCGAGTATGTCCACCTGTAAAATCTCCCCGAGTAGAGTTGCACACCAAGGATGGCGAAGAGCGTGAAGAAGAGCATGATGACCAGGGAGACGTTCCACATGGCAGCGATGGACATTGTCATGGCCTTCAGAATGAGTCGCATGCCCTCGCTCCGCGTGACGGCTCTAAGCGGCTTGGCTGCCCGTAGGACTCGCAGGCCTTTGACAGCTTTGAAATTGGCGGATTCTAGAAAGATGAGGAAAATTGACGAGAAGACGATTAGCATGTCGACCTGCAGGGAGAAATGGGTGTGGTTGTTGTGAATCACATAACGTTGATTCGCCGGGTGGCATGAGGGCAAAATGCTCAACAACGTGTTCTGCAAATTGTTCGGATTGAACCAAACCCGCCAGTTGGCAGTGCGTTACATGATTTGGAGGTTGACAACAACTGCAATTGAATTTTTTGGCCCTGGAAGCTGATTGGAAACTCACCTTGTTGGACAGACTCTTGAAATACACCGAGAAGGAGAACGCCATCACTTTCAGGACCATTTCGAAACCGAACAGCGCGGTCAATATGACGTCCGTGTACCAAAGTATTGTCCAGTCGATGCCGCCCTTTGTGATTCCCGGGTGCTCGTATATCATGGCTATGCAAGACACGAGTATCAGAAAAGACATCACGTAGTCGAAGGCCTCGGCGCTCACGAGCTCATGGGCCCACTTTCGACAGGCATTATTCCGCGTCAGACATCCAAGGGACGTGCCGCTCAAAGGTGGTGCTGGCTTCGCTGCAATCCTTGACAGAAGCCCTGCAATTGGGAGGATGCAAGCGTTTCGGAATTTGAGCGAACAATCGAAGAAGTTACCGATAAAGAAGCAACACATGCCCTGGATCAATTGTTGATTGCGCAGCAAAATGGCCATCATTTGTATGGTTTTGGCAC